CAAAAAAAAAAAAAAAAAAAAAAACGCTAGCTTCATGTGTTCAAACCATGTAAAATAAACCATGCTACTTTAAATGTGAGCAACTTACCAAGTTTATGTCATCCTTGCAATATGCTAACAGCACATAGGAATTTGTGTCCTCAATGTCTGCCATTAGGCACAGGTTCTCTTTGTTACGAATTACACCTTTCTCTTTCATGGTCCACTCCTAAAGACAAAAGTCAAGAATTCAAAACTGAATTAAAATTGAAAACCTACATAGTGCCAATTACAAAAAAAAAAAAAAAAAAAAAAAAAAAAAAAAAAAAACTACTGGTAGTCAAGTTTTAGTGTCTTTATGGAAAAAAATATATATTGGGTTTTCTATACAATAAAAATGTATAAAATAAACATGCCATTTCTTGATGTAGATATAAAAATGCTTTCTTTTTGTCTTATTCTGTCAACTTATAATACTTATGACTTCGCTGTCAGACCATAATGTAATGGTAATATGCTAATAATAATACCTACAACAGCAGATAACTGTGCCGAAAATCAACATGGAGTCATGATACACGCAAGTAAATTAAAACTTACAACAGGCTTACCTGAGATGGTTCATTTTCTTTACAAGGTTTAAATACAACTTGTTTGTCCAAGTAGTCTATGCACATGTCACCCTGTAATATCTGACCATAGGCTACACCATCATGAGCTGGAATTCTTCAGAAAAGAAATAATGAGTATCTTTTCTACATACAAATTTGTTTTAACAGTTAACAATAGTGTTTGAATACAAAAGCAGATCATAAGAGTAACTTTGAAAGACAGATTGGTAACAGCATTTTGTATCTCATATACCGTTGCATAGTATGAGTAGGATTTGGCTAAGCTGAAGCTGAGATTACACTTACTCTAATTCTGGATACACTTTTTCCATAAACCACTTGAAAGACCGACATCCAAGGCTTTTCCTCAACTCTATTCTTCTTGAGATACTGAGCAGTAAAAAAAACTTGTAAGTAAAATTTCATTTAAAAAGAGCATAAAGTTAGTCATATTTCCTTCAATAAAACGCACATCTGACATTTTTTGAAAAATCAATGAAAAAGAGTTTCCGTTTCTATTTAATCTATCAATCATATCCTACTTACTCTCCAATATCAATGTTTTTGGCCTCTGGCCTAGCTTCATAGAAAAACCTTTTGTATTCATCTAACCAAACTTCTGCCACTCTACGAGTATTCCTAACAGAAAAAGAAATAACAAAATCGATTTCTCTGCATCATCATTTATAAAATACTTGTAAAAATGGACACTAACCATTCATCATTGTCAATTTTTGCACATGTATAATAAAAGTACTAAATTCACAAAAATGGATAAAAAAAAATAAAGAAGGCTGTGAAAATGAATAAAAATTGTTTGTTATAAAATCTGTCATGTGAAAGGTATGATTGCAAAGACAACAGCGAATGGTATAAAAGTAAAAACGTATAAACTTCTCTAACAAATACTGAAGGTTTTGAAATCTCCTGTTTTTTTAATCACACAGACAGACCAACCCTACCTCAAGTATGTAGCATCACTACTCTGAGGGAAACTGAAAGGATGTTCCTTTCTAAAGATATGCCCCACTCTGCTGCAAGGTAATATCTCTGTCTGACCTCCACACAACCAGGCTTTGAATGACAGTTCTGGAACAAATATGTGAAACATGGAAATCCTGGTTTAAAATTTGTGTGAGTTTATTAAAAATAACACCCAGAGATCAAAATTACTGCAGAGACATATAACATACTATCTTAATGTATAGGATAAATGCAGTGCATAAAAAAATCAGGTTCAGAACTTCAAAAATGCAACCATGAATGAAATATAATTTTAATAATAATTTTAAAAAAATATTAAAAAATATAAATGAAAACCAGAATTAAAACGGATTCCAATAAGAAAGTACTTTTAAATGCATACATATCAATTTGAACACATTTTCAATAACAAAAAGTAATAATCAATAAATAATTTATTAAAAATTAAAAAATGCTAGAACACAAGCACATTAATCAATAGAAGCATTCATTTTTGGAATATTTCAATTTATTGATTTATTGAAAGATTATAAAAAAAGGTAGATATTTTGAGTAAGCAATCACTGCTTTGGATTGTCCTTATGCATATACAATGCAATGTTTTTGCAAAAAATGCAAATTTAAACCAAACCACTGGGAAACAAAACAAAAAATAATAAATCACAGACAATGCTAACACAATCACAAAGTTTAATGTGCATCAACCAATTTAACAGCTAGCATAATGTTAAATACTATATGAAAAATTCTGAAAATGCAAGTGCCAAAGATGTGCAGTTCTATATAGGGTTCTGGGGCATAAATATAAAAACCCAAATATCTTGAAAAATATGGAAGACCTTAATTTCTGTATATACTTAGATAATGTGCAGGTGACCAAAAAAAGCAAAGATGAAATAATGGGCCTAGACTTGTTAAAACATTCTTGTTCACTGCTTAATAACATGTGCTTTAAAATTTTAGTGTTATGTCACCCAGCAAATACAATTTATTCCAAAATATGTGACTGAAACACCCAGTAGACCATCTAAATTAACATACTATGATTTGTATTATTACCCAGTTTAAAACACACTGATTTTACAATGGATAAGCCACCCTGGTCAAAAGCATTATATAATATGAAAGCTACATATGTCAACAGGATACCAATCACCAATTTCAATTATGTTTGATATTTAGCTCGCCTTCACCATCACTCACAGTGGCTGTGCATATTTATAACACTCACCTGTTCATGCTGCTTGTGAAACAAAAACAACAAAGTGTTATTTATAATACACAATCCAGTTAAGACTAGTCTAATTAAATCACTATACCATGCTCTTTCCCTATAATACTCAGGATACATGTTAAACAGTGCAGACAAACACTTAGCACTTTTTCTTTTCCCAAAAATTTGTTTACATTTACAATAGAAAGATACAAAAATAAAAACATCAATATTTGACTTTATGCAATACATTTTCATCTTCTGTCATGCTGTAAAATGTGTAATAGCAATATCAACAATATTGATGTGTATAAACACAATCTAGTATAATATTTTTAGATCAAAATCTCACCAAAATTCTCTCCTCCCCACACTTCAAGATCTGGGTCATATTGCCCTATCTTGTTGAACCAGTCTCTTCTAATGGCAAATATTCCCCCAGCAACAACAGGGGATCTATAATGATTCAAATTTCTTTAGATTGAATATAATCATATCAATCAAATCAAATCAATCTAGAAAATGTATTTTTGAAATTGTCTAGACTCTTTTGTTAAAAAAAATTTACTTAATGATCAAAGACCCTATAAATCTAGACTGACATTACTGATGTTACTCTCTTTAACAAACAAAGGTGAATGGTTTTGTACATGAAATACATACATGTGAAACTTACTTGATGTGCTGTGTAGTATCTTTTCTGGATTGTTTCTCTTTGCTTGACAAGTTTTCCCACTTGAAGTTCAGACTCCAATCAAAGCCTAAAAGTAGTATATCTTAAATCCACTAAATATTCTCGAGAAACAGAAACTAATTTGCTTCAAGACTATAAAGCTATATTTTCTCATTTTTTTTCTTCATAATCTAGAGGTAATAATATGAACTCAGCATGAGAGATTCCTCACCTCCCCTCACTTCATCTGATGATGCTTGGTACTCAAATGTCTGAAAACTGATCACATCAATCACTGGACTCACAACACTATAGGGACTCTGAAATAAATATCAAAATGCAAAATCATCAACCAACAAAATTTTGAGTTATAATTAAGTACTTAAATTTAAAATTTGACAATTAGTACCATGCCATGCAATCATAATCTATGGACAATATATACTTAAAAATCAACATTGGAAGTACATTTAACAGCAGTACAATACTCAATGTCACAGATACTAATGTACTCATGTAGTAACACTCATGGACTAATTTCATATCTATGATGTTAGTCTCAACTTATTTTTTAATTCAGCAAAACTAACATATGTAGTCCATCCAAAAGACATTTCAACATTCAATAACGTCTTTGCAAAAGTGATATTTTATAAGTCACACTCTTCCTGAGGTATCATGAACCCTGAAACTCCAAGTTCATTTTTTAGTCAATATATCTAACTCCAAGACACAAGGTGCTGCCTTAAAAGAGTGACCTGCATTTCTGATGGGTACATTACTAGTTCTTGTCCCAACTTACTCCTGACCGCTGGTCATTTTTGCCATTACCTGTTTTATCCTGGTTAGCAATGGCTCCAGCCACTGATCATTGACCTCACAGTGACTGTCCAAGAAAACCAGAACTTCAGCAGTAGCATTGGCAGCACCTTTATTGCGAGAGCGAATAAGACCTGGAACAAATGTTGATGTTAGTGGCAAAGTTGAGCCTTATCTGCTTTTTGTTAAAAGAACAAAAACATTATTCAGACACCTATGGAAATTTAGGTTTCATGTTTTTTTTTTTCATTTTGATTAAAAACAGAAAAAAATATCTTTAATTAACATACTAATTTACGGGTTAAAAAAGAGTTTTGATAGTAAATCATTTTATTCTATTTTCTAAAATGCTTCTCCATATTTTTGTTTTCTCCCACCTTCTCTTTCTGTGTTCCGTAATACCACAACCTTTGGAATCTTTAAAAGCTCTTGTCCATCTTGAACTGCAATAGAATGAATGAATGAGTAGTGTTTTGCAACATCCTGTATCCCTGTTTGCTAAAACATGTTTGTGTACTAACCTGGCCTTGTCAGGTAACAAGAAGACAGAATTCACCGTTTGTTATCACATCATTTCATAGACATAGGTGGTGGTTTGTGCATTAACTAAATCTGAAAAAATCTAATCACATTCATTGAAATGTCTTTTTTTAAACATAACAATACGTGTTGAAAGCTTCCACAATGAAATTGGAAATAGGGTGGATAGTTAGGTGTGGGAGGAAACCTAAGCACCAAAAATTGAGGTGTTTAGTTGGTGAAAAAAGTCTTTATTCCTTTAATTATCTTTATTTCATTAGCTGTGTAACTTTTCAAAATAGTGTCTTACTTTTATTACCAAATCAATACAGTGGCAAAATTTCTAAAAATTTGTAGAGTAAAAAACATAACAAAGCACTGTCCACTTTTTCAGAGTAACTTTAAAGTTTTCTGTCTCTTACCATTTTCACTTAAATCATCAACTAATATTATTTCTTTGATAAGATGTGATGGTGTTCTATCAATAACACTGAAACAAACAAAATACAAAGAAAATTAACATCCTTTATATACTGTCCCTTTATCAAAATAAAAATATAGGATTTTAAATAGTAGAATTAACAACTAAAAAGTATTACTTGATAAAAACAAACATTTCCTGTTTACTTGTTACTACTTGATAAAAACAAACATTTCACCATAAATCAAAACATGACTTGTATTAGTATATAACATTTACAAGAAAAAAGACCCTCACTATCTTACCTTTTGATTGTTCTAAATAATGCACACCTGGCTTCATTGTGAAATGTGATTATAATACTGACTAGTGGCACATCTTTGGAATAATTCAAAGTCTGGCACCTGTATTTAAAAAAACAATCAATGGATTTTAATCTAAAAAATAAATTATGCTACAAATGTATATAAATATTATATATATTAGAATGGTCTGCTATAACAATTTACATTGTAATGGTTTTAAGTAATTTTCATTCAGCATAAATAAACAATTAACACTTTGATCTCCTAATTACGGGGAAGCTCAAAAAGCCACCAGTGTTCCAAAAAGTCTTGATAGGAGAACAGAAGAAACACATACTTTTTATTTCTAGTATCAGGTATCACTCTGTCTCCAGGCAGCTTATCACAGACATTGATGTTAAAGAAATGTTTACTGAAAGGATCCACAGCATGTTTTGCCTTCAGGTATGTTTCTTCTCGAAAGGCCTGCAGAAAAAAATAAAAGGATCAATTTGTCACAGATATGAATACGTAAATTTTACAAAAGGTTCTCAATCATTCTGAATGAAAATCGGTTTTGATGATCACGCATCAAACAAATAGTTTTGAAAACTTTTAACAAATTCTCTTGAAATTAAAGGTCAAATTATTATTATAATCAAGAACATCTGAAACACTGAAAAATGACGTGCATGCCATTTGTTTAAATACTGCCACCTGTTATACTAAAAGTTTTCGTCAAATTCGTTCATAATTTTATGCTGTTATAAAACAATAAGGCCTGTGTCATCAGATAAAAACACATATCCCTTTCTACCGAATAATAATAATAATAAATATTATGTAAGACGACTCTATTTTGATAAGACAAGTGTGATTTATGACAACACGTGTGTTTGTTTTGATCAAAATTAGGTCAACTTGCCTGGGAGTTCCTGTGTTGCAGTCCAGTCCAATGGCTCTCCCCAGGCAATAATATAAAGAAAAAATATATCACGCCTGATATCCATAGACTTGCCAGTGTGAGAAGAACACATTTTCGATATCTGTAAAAGAAGCCCATACGAAATATCCTCTCGTGTCTATCGTGGAATGAGAATCGGCATTTTTTGCCAAATGAACCGTGCATGGTCTCTCGCGAGACTTCAATTAAATTTTTCAAACTGCGCACACTCCAATGTAAACTTCCGGGTAACGTGAGTTGCCGAGTCGTCACACAAGGGTGAGCAAATTCTCAACTTCTCTGCTAAAACAGCGTTCAAGACAGGGAAATCATGGCTCAAATTTTTGGTATCGATCATAAAATGTTTGCAATAGGATCGCTGGCCATCACGTCGAGTGTTGCAGTTTATAGTACTTATAAATTAATTTCCGAACGGAGACAACGAAAGAAGACCGTGGCATCTGAGAATGTCTACGAGACACAGAAACTTTTGAATGAGTACTTAGTTTTTCACTTTGGTGCTCCAAATGAAGTTTTAAGGTACGACTTTGGGCCAAAGGATTCTCTGGATTTTCCGAAAAGATGTGCAGATTTGTGTCTCTCTCACTACAAGCCACAGGTATGCCTTATAAAAAATATCTAAAACGTAAAATCCGAGAAATTAACAAAAATACCAAAATCCCTGAGCTCGTGGATTATCTTGCTAAAAATTTTCTCACAGTCTCAGTTGCTCTAAAATGGGAAGCGTTTTAAATGTTTGTGACCTTTTACAAGAGCTTACAATCACATCCCAGATACCTAAAAACTTTAAAGAATATAGGAAAGCCCACAACTACAAAATTATTTTACGAATAAATGGAAACTTGCAAGTCATTGTCCATTTGGTCTAACTACAGCATCAATAATAAGAGCATGTTGTAATAAGTATTTTTCAGCTAAGTTCTACTTAAAAAACATGTTGTAATAATATAAATAAATCTATAAATAATGGTAATAATTTGGAAACATGCATATTTTAGCAGGACAAATATAGTTATTTTTTTGAGGATAAACAGTTAATGCCAATGAAAAGCAAAAATAAGCTAATTTTTTGTTTATAATTCGTATGTGAGGAATGGTCGATGTATTAATTGTTAGATTATATCTGCTTATTTTCATTTTCAGCAAGGTATCCCAAACAGGGCACTTGATATTGGATGTGCAGTTGGTAGAACATCATTTGAACTAGCTAGAGTAATCAATGAAGTGATTGGTATAGACTTTAGTCAGAAATTTGTGGATGCATGCAATGCACTCAAGGAATCTGGAGAAATGAAATACTGGGTACTAGATGAGGGTGCTCTTGTGACTGATTTGATTGCCAGAATAGATAGTGACATTGTAAGTTGATTTATCTCTGTATTTCTAGCTACAATTGAAAATTGAAATAATAGGTTTTCTCTACATTGTTTTTAGTAGAATGCAAATTGCTACCCCAGTGCCACAGTTTTTATAACAGGACAGAGCTGTATTTCCTGGTCCTGATCTAAAAAAAAAAAAAAAAAGCAAGTCAGTTTCCTGGCTGAAAACGTGTGCATGAGAGCAGTAAGGTGTGTGCATGTGATCATGGTATGTTGGAAACAAAGATGTTAGCCACTGGTACTGACTTAATTTTTTTGTGAAACATGGGCCTGGCATAATTATATGTAGAAAAGATGTTCGCAAAGAATTAAAATGAGATTGTGCTTTGTGCAGTCAACTGATTGTAACAGTAAAATAAAACTGAATGCAATTTGACAGAAGACTTATTTGGTACTGCTTGTTTACTGTCACACATAATAAGCTGACTGGCTTTTATTACTCTGTCAAAGTCGCCATAAAGTGGTAGACTATAATTTTTCATTTGCAGTAAGAATTAGGTTCTATCTCAGCCATATTTGGCATATTTACTGTTATATACGGCAGATCAGTTTATCTTAATCCATTGTAAACACATTTCATTAATACCCCTCATATAGAGTTTACATTTGAACAAAGGGGAATTAAGTGAGTTATGTGTACCAAGAAAAGTTTCTGTCCACAGTTTAAGTACAGCTTCAAATGCATCTTCAAGGCAGTATTTATATGTCTACAGGCCATGGGCTAAATCTTCACTGACTGGATCAATAAATTTCACTTTGCCTGGCTTGCAAATGTTTGTGGTCAATAAAAGCAATTTCAGATAGTCTCTCTCTTTCTCTCTCTCTCTCTCTCTCTCACACACACACACACACACACACACACACACACACACACACCATCACTAGATCAGCAGAGTGCTATGAAATTGTAAACATTGTATCCGCTTGTTTTTAATTTTAGGACAGAAGTAGGACATCTTTCCGCCAAGGAGATGCATGCAATCTTCCTGTTAGCCTGGGTCAATTTGGATGTGTATTTGCAGGAAATCTCATATGCAGATTACCCAATCCATATGATTTCTTGAATAGACTTCCCACTCTTGTAGCTAGGGGAGGAATTCTTGTCATCACTTCACCATATACATGGCTGGAAGAGTACACCCCCAAGGTATTAGTTATAAGTGATTTATATTATATTTATATTACTTTTCACACAGGCCTTATGTTAATTGTCTTATGTTTTTCCACAGTTGTTGTTATGTTTATATTTAATTTTCCTTAAAATATCGGCATCATACTCACTTTGGCGAATTAGTAAGATACGTGACTTACTGGACAAAACTTCAACTGAAAAACTAGTCCATGCTTTCATTACTTCTAAGCTTGATTATTGCAACAGTCTCTTTTATGGTTTAGGCAAAAATCATCTGAACAAACTTCAATTAATTCAAAATTCTGCAGCTAGGCTGGTAACTAAAATGGGATGGAACAGCTGAGAGCATATAACACCTGTTTTGATGGAACTTCACTGGCTTCCAGTAAGAGAGAGAATTTTATTTAAAATTTTATGTGTCATTTTTAAAGCAGTCACTGAGAATAAACCACTTTATATCTCAGAACTTATGAAGCAACATCAGCATGGAAGAGTTACAAGGTCTTCAACTTTTAGTCATTTACTTTTAGAACACAGTGTCTTAGAGAAAAAAGCTGGTAAATTTTATGGTGAAAGGGCATTTATGATATATGCACCCAAAGTTTGGAACACCTTACCCTCTGAAATACGAGCAGCAGGTGACATAGATACTTTTAAAAAGCTTTTGAAAACTCATATTTTTAGAATAGCTTATCAGTAACTATCATTTAGTTAATTTTAGTTTTCAATAAGATGTACTGTAATTTTATGATTAATTGNCTAGTTTTAAATGTTGTCACTTTAGGTTCTTATCATTTTAGAATATGAATAATTGGTTCTTTAAATTAGTTCTTAGTCCTTTAAAATTGTAATGTGTTCTTATATTAGTATTGTGTTATTTAGCTCTTTTAAGTGAATGTTGTAAGGCGCATTGAGATTTTTAATGGAATGCGCCATAGAAAAATAAATTATTATTAAATAATTATTATTAAATAGACTATCGTACATTAGTAATAAAAAATTCCAGATTTTAAAAAAATTGTCATTTGTCATGAATGTATCATCTACCAAGTTTTGTATTGCATTTGGTGTCTAATCCAAATTTATTATTTTCTTTCAGAATTTATGGCTTGGAGGTTATATTGATAAAAATGGAAGGAAAGTAACAGGGTTCGATAACTTAAAGAAAGTTTTGGGACCTGATTTTGACCTACTTGAAGACAAAGATATGCCTTTCTTTATTCGTGAGACAGCTCATAAAAACCAGTGGACTGTTGCACATGCTACAGTGTGGAGAAGAAAATAAACACTACTATATATTATGATTGTAAAAATAGAGCAAATGTATACAGGAATCTTTTTAGACATATTACTGCGTTTTGGTCAGTGAAGATATACTATAAGGAAGAGGTATCATGTAGAGTTATCTTATCGTTAATAAATCTCTTTTGTTATTAGTTGAAAGATATCATAGTATAATGGTTATGATGATTTCCTTTAATTATGTGAAGTTTTAATATCGTTTACATTATCATCATTTCCAGTTGTTTTACAGTATTATGCCTCAGTAAGATATTTTATGTTGCTTTTTTGTAGATAACAAATGAAGCCTTGTAACCAAAAAACATCTTACTAGATAAAAGATTTTGTCACTAATGCTTGTAATTTGAGGTTTGGAATGTCAAGATGACATTAAAAAAGTAACTTTTTGCCACAAGAAACAATTTGTTCCCAATTTATTTAAACCGGTGTTAATGTCAGGGATCTCAGTGGCTGTATAAACTAAATGATTTTGCATAATTTTTTGTTTGGAAACTCTTCACTGCCACTAATATTGATGATTAGATTTTTTTTCTTCCATAATTATTGACTAAAGCTTTAAATCCATAAAAATATTCAATAGCTTTAACATAGCATTCAAATGAAATAATGTGATATAAATAAAAGGAAGTAGGAGATATGTGATTAAACTTGTTAAGAGAAGTATTTTATAGAAGAAATGGGAGTTAAAACCCAATGTGTATTATATATTTCATAAGCTGTTTACAAATTGGGAAGGTTCTAAAAGATTTATAGGTTCTTTTTCAAGTGGTGGTAGATGGTAGTATAATTGAGACAATATGGATGCTGTCAATTATGTAACAAATTATGTATGTGTTTGTGTGTTATTAATACAGGTTTGCATACAGTACAGCACAGCTATAATTTCTGATGGAATTAACGTTCATATGTTAAACAATTTATTGTAAGAAAATTACCCCAGAAGTGATTGATACCATTGCAGATTCCTACCTGAAAACCTATAAATATTCATCAATAAAAGAACAGATTTTAACCGATTTCTTTGCTTTTGTGTTTATACCTATTTCTTGTTTATTAAGCAAGACGTTGTGATCCAATAACTTGAAGAACTAGTTTTAACAAGAAAGGGTTTATTGTAAAACTGAGTGCGATTTCCTCTCAATACAATTTAGATACCAAATCCACATCCTATTCAAAATCTACAAGTTTAATCCTTTCCCATCTCTAAAACAAAATACAAATGAAAATATAAACCACCAACTTCTGAATTTCTTTTTTATTATTATTCCCTATTTAAAACCACATGAAACCTTGTAATGTTTTAGTCAGAGAATATGTATTGTAGTAGTGTTTTGGTAAATGATGCTTATAAATAAATACAAAATATTATTTTACTAGAAATAAAAATAAATATATTTATCCTGCCATGTCTAATACATACAAATAGCAGCTTATTTACAAAATCACCTTCCTCATCTAAAGAAAATATTCTCAGAAGCAAGCACTTACAAAAAAGTACCAGCAAAAAAACATGCAAATTACAATCATGACTTTTTCCAGTTGTACTTATTTAAAATCTTCTTATAACTCCTTATTTTCTAATGATCAATCACAAAGAGTATTTTTTCATGAACGTGTATCACTGAATTTTTCTGAATAAAGTGTGAAAATCATTTCATCATCATGTGAAGCAGAGATAAAAGCAATTGCACTAGTACAGAAATGCATCAACCTTTTTAACAAAAAAAAAAAGGTTAAGTAACTGTCATCTGATCATGCATCCAAGTCAACGGGATGTGTAATTCTATCAAATATTCCATCCATCAGTCTCTTCCTTGTAGAACAGAATGTGCATGTGAATTCAGTGAGCATTGAACTTCAAATTACGTGACATTTTTGCCTACACATCACTGCTGCTCATCGGGATACAGATCTTGATGCCTCTTCTTTTCCTTGTTCGTACTCTTCCAAATTTTTTCTAAAATCATGGATAAAATTGTATTGCTGAAAAAAAAAGACACAAAATTAAAAACATTCAAATAAATTGCTATGAATTCCAAGTCTCAAAGTGTTGCCAAGTTTACTTGTCTGTTCACAACAATGGCTATGCATTGAAGACAAACTGCCCAAATGTCTAGAAAGCAGTTTTGATCATATAAAAAACACCATTTTACAAATTAAACTAATGATATTGTTTGGTGTACAAATGAACATAATTAGAAAACTTTTTTATTGATGTTGATACCTTCACTGACTGCACTGCCCCTGGGCCTCTTAACTGCCGCAACCTCTGAATTGCTGATTCTGAGTCTAAACTTTCATCCATGTACATTAACAAACAAGCTGCTACCACGCAGGATCTGCCAAGTCCACCAAAACAACTAAAAAATATAAATACATGAAATGCAAAATGGTCTCTCAAATGCAGATCACGGACACCTGAGGAAGGAGGAAAACCTACTACTCCTTTTTCACTTTACCTACATTCACACAAAATCCAAAGCTTTAACATTTTTACCTTAAAAAGGAGGAAAGTTCCCATTTCTAAAAGTCATTACATGGATGTTTAAAAGTTATTTGGTAAAATCAATAGGTTAAGAAAGTAAGTAAGAAAATCAAAATTTGAATTCAATTTCAATATTCAAATTCATATATTACTCTTTTCTTCCAAAAAAGCATCTTTCATTCAAACAAGTTATGACTTGGATGGCAAACTCACTGTAGAAGAGTCTTTCTTCCCTGCATTAAATTAACTTTCAATTCCTCTAGCATTTTCACCATTCCGGCAACTGACGGTGCCTGCCCATCAGGGAACGGATGGTGGTGAACATTGAAATCTGCACCAGTGTACTCGTGGAGCAAATAGGGCACCCTGTATTTGTTCAGTTCTCCTTTTGTACACAGCACAAATACTTCCGTGATCTCCATGCCTTTCAGAGTAACTAAAATAGAGGGAATGAAATTTAGAGCTCAATTGATGTGGAATCACATTGCATTATTTTACATGTTTCAATCATTGACAAATCAGTGATTGATGATTCTCTATAATATATACATCTCAATAGGAATATAAAATGGGTTTTGTTATAAGAATGAATATTTTATGTACCAGAGCTACATATAATGGTAAAGTTTACCTATATCAGTCTCTAGGCTCCTCCAGGTGTCTTTGAATCTACATCCTGCAATGCACAATAAGAGCACATTCTTACAAAGCCATGCAAGCACACACAGCTAATAATATTTGTTTTGAAATCAAAATTAAAAATTTAATCTAAAACCACAAACTAATTATAACTGTAAAAATTCTAAAAAAAGAAAAAAAAAAGGTGTACTGGTGAGTACTAGTAAACGAGTTACATCTACGAATTGCAATATGGTATTTGCTTTGCAATTAATTGATTTTTGTCTGCATTATTCAACTTAAAAGGAAAGAAACTGTTCAGTGTTGTGCTGACCAAACTGGATCACACAAACATACCTGGCAAACCACTTATACCCAGCTGCTCAGCGCAGCCAACACATGACATATCTAACCTTGAAGAAAACAATCAAAACAGAGCTAATGATAAATTATACCAATATATGTATCATGTGAAATACTAGTAGTTTACTCACTGTCGCTTGACTTGTGTATTGATGACAAAAAAGTATATCTCATTCTCATAGGTAGAAAGCATTATTTGTATTATCTTCACATATTTAACAAAATATTTCTGCTTTTATTCTAACCTTAAAGCAATAATAACTCTTCCTTTGAGATTCAAAATTCCGCATGAAATACATTGTAAACAATGCATGGAAATATATTCTATTGTATTTTACCACTAAAACGGCCGTTATTGTAGTAAAACTAAAATCTGTGCTTGTCAATAGGGCTTTCGAAGCTTTCATCAAGGCATTCGTTGCTAATGACGTAATGGTGTCACGCGGATTCTCGCGTTCATTCGAGACCAAAATAACATATGGCGCCAAACGCATTAATGCGGACGCAGACGTAAGTTGCGAGTTTTTGTACAGTGCGTCGGATAACAAAAAGCCCAGAACGGCACACATTGTGGATATTAATGTATTTTTAACAAAAAGACGAATATATCTCATGAATCTTATATAGTGTTGTTGTTGTCTGCTTTTCCCGCGGTTTTAAGTAGGTCAACAGTGACTATGCGATGTCAGAGAGAGCTCCGTCAGTTAAAATCTCTTAAGAGATTTTAACAAAAAACCGTACGTTTAGGAAAAAAACCCTGGATTAACTTTGAATGCAGGATTGGGGTCGCTGACCATTGGTAAGTACGGGAAAATTGCCGTTTACTCCAGGAAAATCCAATTTTTGGCCAAAATGAAGAGTTATTATGACTTTAACTATGGTAACAACAAATGCTTGACGCAGATGTGTATACAATTACCAGTTAACAATGAAGGGTGACAAGTCCAATTCTTCATTTTCTTCATCATCTGAGGAGTCAAATCCACTCATTACTTCCCTGGATCTCTTAAAAAGCATTACAATACATTTTTAACGAGCAAAATAGTAATAATCATTTCTGTTCTGAAAACAAGTCTCATGGTTAATTACAAAGTAGCAGGGAAATTTATTTCTGCAAGTTATAATATGCATCATCCAAAGTTCCGCCTTTAAGTTTAACTTTTCAAATTCTTAATAAAATTAACATTATAATGTTGTTTAAGTTACATATCGTCATATGAAATATTATAGCAAGACGGAACTACATGGTTTTGTCATTGAGGAAGACAGCCTCACACAAGCTGCAGATCTTCCACTTGTCTCTAGAACAAGGGATGGCCGCACATCCCTTGTTTTGCATAGTCCTCGGTCTAAAAACACAAAATAAGTGCTTACCAACAAAACCATCCCGTCGCTTTTTTAAACACCATATAAACCCAGTGATATGAACCCAGACATTTGAAGATGGTTCACTTACTTCTTATTGGTCAAAACGTCAAATCTCGCACTTCACGAGATTACCCACAGTGCACAGGTCATAGTGACAGACAACATGGTGGGCAAAGTTATAAACATAAAAATATTTTAAATTCCTTAAAGGTCCACCGGAATGTAACAAGCCGTGGAGAAGGCAGTCGCTGGGTTAACGATAGAAGGAGCTAGGGGGAAATGATGGCAGTTTTAATAAAACTTTTTTAAGTTAGGGTAAGTGCAATAGCGACTGTCATTTGAATACATTTACAAATCAGTAGCACCTGCACTGCGAGTGCCACAGTGTTCCACGAATGATGAATGTAGCTGTACTGAACAGGAACCTCTGTACTTCAAAAGTAACTGAGTAGTCGATATGTTTAATAAGTACTATGTTCAAGCAAAAATACATCAGTAATATCACCTACGAGTAATTGAATCTGTAAAATCACAAAAACAAGATATCCCATGTATTTGCCCTCAGAAGGCCTCGTCAGTGCATGTCATTTCTTGCATTAAATTCAGCAAGCATCCACCATCGTGGCCTTCCAAGACTTGGGTGACTTTAAGTGCTCTGTTTCTATTTTTGTTTATAAATACTTAGTAAGTTATTGCATTATTCATTTCAGTATCAACTATGCCATCATTTTTGCCATACATTGATCCTCCTAGTAGGGAGTTAACACTTAAACCCACCAAAGGCCTACGCTATGCTACATACGACTCACCTTTGTCAATTCCAAGTGTTGGCACAAAACAGAAACCCTCCGAATTCCAAGCGTATATAAATACCAAACAGATTTATAAGAAAATCTTTGAGTGGTTTGATTCATGGAGACCATGGCAACAGAAACATTTACTAGCAGGTTTGACAGAGAGGTAAGGTTTGCTTTCCTACAAAGTTAGAAATTAATGGTTCCCCATGTGCCACAGGCCAGTGATTTTTAACCCAACCAGCAAAGTCTGAATCTTACTGGCCTGAAGGGTTACTTATTTTTAGACTTGGTGAGACATATATATTATACTAATCAGAAAGAGAGAAAAGTTCAAAACCATCAGAATTTGAATTAAATGTAAAAATATAAACTTGTAATTAGATATACACATATTGATTAAATATAATAAATGTACTTATGTAGTATAAAAAGTTTTATATATATCTGGTATTTTGTCTGTCCATCTACTTGTTTGTTTGATTGAGATGTGATAAAAGTGATAACGTGATTTTTTTGNTATCACCGGCCTTAAATAAAGAGACCTACATTTCCGATGGGTACATTACTAGTTCTATTCCCAACTTACTACTGACTGCTGGTCATTTTTGCCATTACCTGTTTTATCCTGGTCAGCAATGGCTCCAGCCACTGGTCATTGACCTCACAGTGACTGTCCAGGAAAACCAGAACTTCAGCAGTAGCATTGGCAGCACCTTTATTACGAGAGCGAATAAGACCTGGAACAAATGTTGATGTTAGTGGCAAAGTTGAGCCTTATCTGCTTTTTGTTAAAAGAACAAAAACATTATTCAGACACTTATGGAAATTTAGGTTTCATGTTTTTTATTTTGATTTAAAATAGAAAAAAAATCCTCAATTAACATACTAATGTATGGGTTAAAAAAGAGACAGTTTTCAGTTCTGATGGTTAATCATTTTATTCTATTTCCTAAAATACTACTTAAATATTTTTATTTTCTCCCACCTTCTCTTTCTGCATTCCGTAATACCACAACCTTTGAAATCTTTAAAAGCTCTCGCCCATCTTGAACTGCAATAGAATGAATGAATGAGTAGTGTTTTGCAACATCCTGTATCCCTGTTTGCTAAAACATGTTTGTGTACTAACCTGGCCTTATCAGGTAACAAGAAGACAGAATTCACTGTTTGTTATCACTAAATGAGATTAATCATTTCATAGACATAGGTGGTGGTTTGTGCATTAACTAAATCTGAAAAAATCTAATCACATTCATTGAAATGTCTTTTTTTAAATATAACAATATGTGTTGAAAGCTTCCACAGTGAAATTGAAAATAGGGTGGATAGTTCGTAAGTGTGAGAGTAGACCTAAGCACAAAAAATTGAGATGTTTAGTTGGTCAAAAAAATTTTTATTTCTTTAATTTTCTTTATTTCATTACCTGTGTAACTTTTCAAAATAGTGTCTTACTTTTATTGCCACATCAATAAGGTGGCCAAATTTCTAAAAATTTGTAGAGTAAAAAACATAACAAAGAACTGTCCACTTTTTCAGAGTAACTTAAAAGTTTTCTGTCTCTTACCATTTTCACTAAAATCATCAACTAATATTATTTCTTTGATAAGATGTGATGGTGTTCTATCAATAACACTGAAACAAACAAAATACAAAAAAAATTTAACATCCTTTATATACTGTCCCTTTATCAAAATAAAAATATAGAATTTTAAATAGTAGAATTAACAACTAAAAACTATTACTTGATAAAAACAAACATTTCCTGTTTACTTGTTACTACTTGATAAAAACAAACATTTCACCATAAATCAAAACATGACTTGTATTAGTATATAACATTTACAAGAAAAAAGACCCTCACTATCTTACCTTTTGATTGTTCTAAATAATGCACACCTGGCTTCATTGTGAAATGTGATTATAATACTGACTAGTGGCACATCTTTAGAATAATTCAAAGTCTGGCACCTGTATTAAAAAAAACAATCAATGGATTTTAATCTAAAAAATAAATTATGCTACAAATGTATATAAATATTATATATATTAGAATGGTCTGCTATAACAAGTTACATTGTAATGGTTTTAAGTAATTTTCATTCAGCATAAATAAACAATTAACACTTTGATCTCCTATTACGGGGAAGCTCAAAAAGCCACCAGCGTTCCAAAAAGTCTTGATAGGAGAACAGAAGAAACACATACTTTTTATTTCTAGTATCAGGTATCACTCTGTCTCCAGGCAGCTTATCACAGACATTGATGTTAAAGAAATGTTTACTGAAAGGATCCACAGCATGTTTTGCCTTCAGGTATGTTTCTTCTCGAAAGGCCTGCAGAAAAAAATAAAAGGATCAATTTGTCACAGATATGAATACGTTCTCAATCATTCTGAATGAAAATCGGTTTTGATGATCACGCATCAAACAAATAGTTTTGAAAACTTTTAACAAATTCTCTTGAAATTAAAGGTCAAATTATTATTATAATCAAGAACATCTGAAACACTGAAAAATGACGTGCATGCTGCCACCTGTTATACTAAAAGTTTTCGTCAAATTCGTTCATAATTTTATGCTGTTATAAAACAATAAGGCCTGTGTCATCAGATAAAAACACATATCCCTTTCTACCGAATAATAATAATAATAAATATTATGGAAGACGACTCTATTTTGATAAGACAAGTGTGATTTATGACAACACGTGTGTTTGTTTTGATCAAAATTAGGTCAACTTGCCTGGGAGTTCCCGTGCTGCAGTCCAGTCCAATGGCTCTCCCCAGGCAATAATATAAAGAAAAAATATATCACGCCTGATATCCATAGACTTGCCAGTGTGAGAAGAACACATTTTCGATATCTGTAAAAGAAGCCCATACGAAATATCCTCTCGTGTCTATCGTGGAATGAGAATCGGCATTTTTTGCCAAATGGACCGTGCATGGTCTCTCGCGAGACTTCAATTAAATTTTTCAAACTGCGCACACTCCAATGTAAACTTCCGGGTAACGTGAGTTGCCGAGTCGTCACACAAGGGTGAGCAAATTCTCAACTTCTCTGCTAAAACAGCGTTCAAGACAGGGAAATCATGGCTCAAATTTTTGGTATCGACCATAAAATGTTTGCAATAGGATCGCTGGCCATCACGTCGAGTGTTGCAGTTTACAGTACTTATAAATTAATTTCCGAACGGAGACAACGAAAGAAGACCGTGGCATCTGAGAATGTCTACGAGACACAGAAACTTTTGAATGAGTACTTAGTTTTTCACTTTGGTGCTCCAAATGAAGTTTTAAGGTACGACTTTGGGCCAAAGGATTCTCTGGATTTTCCGAAAAGATGTGCAGATCTGTGTCTATCTCACTACAAGCCACAGGTATGCCTTATAAAAAATATCTAAAACGTAAAATCCGAGAAATTGACAAAAATACCAAAATCCCTGAGCTCGTGGATTATCTTGCTAAAAATTTTCTCACAGTCTCAGTTGCTGTAAAATGGGAAGTGTTTTAAATGTTTGTGACCTTTTACAAGAGCTTACAATCACATCCCAGATACCTAAAAACTTTAAAGAATATAGGAAAGCCCACAACTACAAAATTATTTTACGAATAAATGGAAACTTGCAAGTCATTGTCCATTTGGTCTAACTACAGCATCAATAATAAGAGCATGTTGTAATAAGTATTTTTCAGCTAAGTTCTACTTAAAACATGTTGTAATGATATAAACAAATCTATAAATAACGGTAATAATTTGGAAACATACATATTTTAGCAGGACAAATATAGTTATTTTTTTAGGATAAACAGTTAATGCCAATGAAAAGCAAAAATAATTTAATTATTTGTTTATAATTCGTATGTGAGGAATGGTCGATGGATTAATTGTTAGATTATATCTGCTTATTTTCATTTTCAGCAAGGTATCCCAAACAGGGCACTTGATATTGGATGTGCAGTTGGTAGAACATCATTTGAACTAGCTAGAGTAATCAATGAAGTGATTGGTATAGACTTTAGTCAGAAATTTGTGGATGCATGCAATGCACTCAAGGAATCTGGAGAAATGAAATACTGGGTACTAGATGAGGGTGCTCTTGTGACTGATTTGATTGCCAGAATAGATAGTGACATCGTAAGTTGATTTATCTCTGTATTTCTAGCTACAATTGAAAATTGAAATAATAGGTTTTCTCTACATTGTTTTTAGTAAAATGCAAATTGCTACCCCAGTGCCACAGTTTTTATAACAGGACAGGGCTGTATTTCCTGGTCCTGATCTAAAAAAAAAAAAAAAAGTAAGTCAGTTTCCTGGCTGAAAACGTGTGCATGAGAGAGGTAAGGTGTGTGCATGTGACCATGGTATGTTGGAAACAAAGATGTTAGCCACTGGTACTGACTTAATTTTTTTGTGAAACATGGGCCTGGCATAATTATATGTAGAAAAGATGTTCGCAAAGAATTAAAATGAGATTGTGCTTTGTGCAGTCAACTGATTGTAACAGTAAAATAAAACTGAATGCAATTTGACAGAAGACTTATTTGGTACTGCTTGTTTACTGTCACACATAATAAGCTGACTGGCTTTTATTACTCTGTCAAAGTCGCCATAAAGTGGTAGACTATAATTTTTCATTTGCAGTAAGAATTAGGTTCTATCTCAGCCATATTTGGCATATTTACTGTTATATATGGCAGATCAGTTTATCTTAATCCATTGTAAACACATTTCATTAATACCCCTCATATAGAGTTTACATTTGAACAAAGGGGAATTAAGTGAGTTATGTGTACCAAGAAAAGTTTCTGTCCACAGTTTAAGTACAGCCTCAAATGCATCTTCAAGGCAGTATTTATATGTCTACAGGCCATGGGCTAAATCTTCACTGACTGGATCAATAAATTTCACTTTGCCTAGCTTGCAAATGTTTGTGGTCAATAAAAGCAATTTCAGATAGTCTCTCTCTTTCTCTCTCTCTCTCTCTATCACACACACACACACACACACACACACACCATCACTAGATCAGCAGAGTGCTATGAAATTGTAAACATTGTATCCGCTTGTTGTTTTTAATTTTAGGACAGAAGTAGGACATCTTTCCGCCAAGGAGATGCATGCAATCTTCCTGTTAGCCTGGGTCAATTTGGATGTGTATTTGCTGGAAATCTCATATGCAGATTACCTAATCCATATGATTTCTTGAATAGACTTCCCACTCTTGTAGCTAGGGGAGGAATTCTTGTCATCACTTCACCATATACATGGCTGGAAGAGTACACCCCCAAGGTATTAGTTATAAGTGATTTATATTATATTTATATTACTTTTCACACAGGCCTTATGTTAATTGTCTTATGTTTTTCCACAGTTGTTGTTGTTTATATTTAATTTTCCTTAAAATAGACTATCGTACATTAGTAATAAAAAATTCCAGATTTTAAAAAAATTGTCATTTGTCATGAATGTATCATCTACCAAGTTTTGTATTGCAATTGGTGTCTAATCCAAATTTATTATTTTCTTTCAGAATTTATGGCTTGGAGGTTATATTGATAAAAATGGAAGGAAAGTAACAGGGTTCGATAACTTAAAGAAAGTTTTGGGACCTGATTTTGACCTACTTGAAGACAAAGATATGCCTTTCTTTATTCGTGAGACAGCTCATAAAAACCAGTGGACTGTTGCACATGCTACAGTGTGGAGAAGAAAATAAACACTACTATATATTATGATTGTAAAAATAGAGCAAATGTATACAGGAATCTTTTTAGACATATTACTGCGTTTTGGTCAGTGAAGATATACTATAAGGAAGAGGTATCATGTAGAGTTATCTTATCATTAATAAATCTCTTTTGTTATTAGTTAAAAGATATCATAGTATAATGGTTATGATGATTTCCTTTAATTATGTGAAGTTTTAGTATCGTTTACATTATCATCATTTCCAGTTGTTTTACAGTATTATGCCTCAGTAAGATATTTTATGTTGCTTTTTTGTAGATAACAAATGAAGCCTTGTAACCAAAAAACATCTTACCAGATAAAAGATTTTGTCACTAATGCTTGTAATTTGAGGTTTAGAATGTCAAGATGACATTAAAAAAGTAACTTTTTGCCACAAGAAACATAATTTGTTCCCAATTTATTTAAACCGGTGTTAATGTCAGGGATCTCAGTGGCTGTATAAACTAAATGATTTTGCATAATTTTTTGTTTGGAAACTCTTCACTGCCACTAATATTGATGATAAGATTTTTTTCTTCCATAATTATTGACTAAAGCTTTAAATCCATAAAAATATTCAATAGCTTTAACATAGCATTCATATGAAATAATGAGATATAAATAAAAGGAAGTAGGAGATATGTGATTAAACTTGTTAAGAGTATTTTATAGACGAAATGGGAGTTAAAACCCAATGTGTATTATATATTTCATAAGCTGTTTACAAATTGGGAAGGTTCTAAAAGATTTATAGGTTCTTTTTCAAGTGGTGGTAGATGGTAGTATAATTGAGACAATATGGCTGCTGTCAATTATGTAACAAATTATGTATGTGTTTGTGTGTTATTAATACAGGTTTGCATACAGTACAGCACAGCTATACTTTCTGATGGAATTAATGTCCATATGTTAAACAATTTATTGCAAGAAAATTACCCCAGAAGTGATTGATACCATTGCAGATTCCTACCTGAAAACCTATAAATATTCATCAATAAAAGAACAGATTTTAACCGATTTCTTTGCTTTTGTGTTTATACCTATTTCTTAAGCAAGACATTGTGATCCAATAACTTGAAGAACTAGTTTTAACAAGAAAAGGTTAATTGTAAAACTGAGCGTGATTTCCTCTCAATACAATTTAGATACCAAATCCACATCCTATTCAAAATCTACAAGTTTAATCCTTTCCCATCTCTAAAACAAAATACAAATGAAAATATAAACCACCAACTTCTGAATTTCTTTTTTATTATTATTCCCTATTTAAAACCTCATGAAACCTTGTAATGTTTTAGTCAGAGAATATGTATTGTAGTAGTGTTTTGGTCAATGATGCTTATAAATAAATACAAAATATTATTTTACTAGAAACTAAAAATAAATATATTTATCCTGCCATGTCTAACACATACAAATAGCAGCTTATTTACAAAATCACCTTCCTCATCTAAAGAAAATATTCTCAGAAGCAAGCACTTACAAAAAAGTACCAGCAAAAAAACATGCAAATTACAATCATGACTTTTTCCAGTTGTACTTTTTTAAAATCTTTTTATAACTCCTTATTTTCTAATTATCAATCACAAAGAGTATTTTTTCATGAAAGAAAAGTGAAAATCATTTCATCATCATGTGAAGCAGAGATCAAAGCAATTGCACTAGTACAGAAATGCATCAACCTTTTTAACAAAAAAAATGTTAAGTAACTGTCATCTGATCATGTATCCAAGTCAACGGGATGTGTAATTCTATCAAATATTCCATCCATCAGTCTCTTCCTTGTAGAACAGAATGTGCATGTAAATTCAGTGAGCATTAAACTTCAAATTACGTGACATTTTTGCCTACACATCACTGCTGCTCATCGGGATACAGATCTTGATGCCTCTTCTTTTCCTTGTTCGTACTCTTCCAAATTTTTTCTAAAATCATGGATAAAATTGTATTGCTGAAAAAAAAAAAAGACATTAAATTAAAAACATTCAAATAAATTGCTATGAATTCCAAGTCTCAAAATGTTGCCAAGTTTATTTGTCTGCACACAACAATGGCTATGCATTGAAGACAAACTGCCCAAATGTCTAGAAAGCAGTTTTGATCATATAAAAAACACCATTTTACAAATTAAACTAATGATATTGTTTGGTGTACAAATGAACATAATTAGAAAACTATTTTATTGATGTTGATACCTTCACTGACTGCACTGCCCCTGGGCCTCTTAACTGCCTCAACCTCTGAATTGCTGATTCCGAGTCTAAACTTTCATCCATGTACATTAACAAACAAGCTGCTACTACGCAGGATCTGCCAAGTCCACCAAAACAACTAAAAAATATAAATACATGAAACGCAAAATGGTCTCTCAAATGCAGATCACAGATACCTGAGGAAGGAGGAAAACCTACTCGTCCTTTTTCACTTTACCTACATTCATACAAAATCCAAAGCTTTAACATTTTTACCTTAAAAAGGAGGAAAGTTCCCATTTCTAAAAGTCATTACATGGATGTTTAAAAGTTATTTGGTAAAATCAATAGCTTAAGAAAGTAAGTAAGTAAGAAAATCAAAATTTGAATTCAATTTCAATATTAAAATTCATATATCACTCTTTTCTTCCAAAAAAGCATCTTTCATTCAACCAAGTTATGATTTGGATGGCAAACTCACTGTAGAAGTGTCTTTCTTCCCTGCATTAAATTAACTTTCAATTCCTCCAGCATTTTCACCATTCCGGCAACTGATGGTGCCTGCCCATCAGGGAACGGATGGTGGTGAACATTGAAATCTGCACCAGTGTACTCATGGAGCAAATAGGGCACCCTGTATTTGTTCAGTTCTCCTTTTGTACACAGCACAAATACTTCTGTGATCTCCATGCCTTTCAGAGTAACTAAAATTGAGGGAATGAAATTTAGAGCTTTGGAAACACACTGCATTATTTTACATGCTTCAATCATTGACAAATCAGTGATTTATCATTCTCTATAATATATACATCTCAATAGGAATATAAAATGGGTTTTATTCCTAGGACCTGATACCTTTCTCTTTTGAAAAGGACACAAACTTTTTTGTCCAGAACAACACAAAAGGAATGGGTCTAAGAAACATTTTAACATCACATTCTTATCTTAGTTTTTTAATTGCATCTCACACTGCCAAACACATATGTATGACCTGAAGTATAAACTAGTATGCAGCCTAAAAGGTTGGAATGGAACTGCTGCAGTACTGTTTTACAAAAAGCAACACAGATATGGTAAGAGTGAATATTTGATGTACCAGTGCTACATATAATGGTAAAGCTTACCTATATCAGTCTCTAGGCTCCTCCAGGTGTCTTTGAATCTACATCCTGCAATGCATAATAAGAGCACATTCTTACAAAGCCGTGCAAGCACACACAGCTAATTATATTGGTATCAAAATTTAAACTAAAACTACAAATTAATTATAACTGTAAAAATTCTAAAAAAAAAATGGTTTACTGGTGAGTACTAATAAACAAGTTAGATCAATGAATTGCAATATTGTATTTGCTTAGCAATTAATTGATTTTGTCTGCATCATTCAATTTAAAAGTTAAGAAACTGTTCAGTGTTGTGCTGACCAAACTGGATCACACAAACATACCTGGCAAACCACTTATACCCAGCTGCTCTGCACAGCCAACACACGACATGTCTAACCTTGAAGAAAACAATCAAAACAGAGTTAATGATAAATTATACCTATATATGTATAATGTAAATAGTTTACTCACTGTCTCTTGACTTATGTATTGATGACAAAAAAGTATATCTCATTCTCATAGGTAGAATGCATTATTTGTATTATCTTCACATATTTACTAAAATATTTTTGCTTTTATTCTAACCTTAACTATGGTAACAAATGCTTGATGCAGATGTGTAAACAATTACCAGTTAACAATGAAGGGTGACAAGTCCAATTCTTCATTTTCTTCATCATCTGAGGAGTCAAATCCACTCATTACTTCCCTGAAACGCTAAAAAAGCATTACAATACATTTTTAACGAGCAAAATAGTAATAATCATTTCTGTTCTGAAAACAAGTCTCATGGTTAATTACAAAGTAGCAGCGAAATATATTTCTGCAAGTTATAATATGCATCATCCGAAGTTCTGCCTTTAAGTTTAACTTTTCAAATTCTTAATAAATATAACATTATGATGTTGTTAAAGTTACATATCGTCATGAAGCGAAAATATCATATGAAATATTATAGCAAGACGGAACTACGTGTAGAAGAGGCCACAGAGAATCATTGAGGGGGGAAGACGGCCTCACACAAGCTGCAGATCTTCCACTTGTCTCTAGAACAAGGGATGGCCGCACACCCTTTGTTTTGCATAGACCTCAGTCTAAAAATACAAAATAAGTGCTTACCAACAAAACCATCTCGTCGCTTTTTTAAACACCATATAAACCCAGTGATATCAACCCAGACATTTGAAGATGGTTCACTTACTTCTTATTGGTCAAAACATCAAATCTCGCACTTCACGAGATTACCCACAGTGCACAGGTCATAGTGACAGACAACATGGTGGGCAAAGTTATAAACATAAAAATATTTTAAATTCCTTAAAGGTCCACCGGAATGTAACAAGCCGTGGAGAAGGCAGTCGCTGGGTTAACGATAGAAGGAGCTAGGGGGAAATGATGGCAGTTTTAATAAAACATTTTTAAGTTAGGGTAAGTGCAATAGCGACTGTCATTTGAATACATTTACAAATCAGTAGCACCTGCACTGCTAGTGCCACAGTGTTCCACGAATCATGAATGAAATCAGGCCGTCTAGCTGTACTGAACAGGAACCTCTGTACTTCAAAAGTAACTGAGTAGTCGATATGTTTAATAAGTACTATGTTCAAGCAAAAATACATCAGTAATATCACCTACGAGTAATTGAATCTGTAAAATCACAAAAACAAGATATCCCATGTATTTGCCCTCAGAAGGCCTCGTCAGTACATGTCATTTCTTGCATTAAATTCAGCAAGCATCCACCATCGTGGCCTTCCAAGACTTGGGTGACTTTAAGTGCTCTGTTTCTATTTTTGTTTATAAATACTTAGTAAGTTATTGCATTATTCATTTCAGTATCAACTATGCCATCATTTTTGCCATACATTGATCCTCCTAGTAGGGAGTTAACACTTAAACCCACCAAAGGCCTACGCTATGCTACATACGACTCACCTTTGTCAATTCCAAGTGTTGGCACAAAACAGAAACCCTCCGAATTCCAAGCATATATAAATACCAAACAGATTTATAAGAAAATCTTTGAGTGGTTTGATTCATGGAGACCATGGCAACAGAAACATTTATTAGCAGGTTTGACAGAGAGGTAAGGTTTGCTTTCTTACAAAGTTAGAAATTACTGGTTCCCCATGTGCCACAAGCCAGTGATTTTTAACCCAACCAGCGAAGTCTGAATCTTACTGGCCTGAAGGGTTACTTATTTTTAGACTTGGTGAGACATATATTATACTAATCAGAAAGAGAGAAAACCATCAGAATTTGAATTAAATGTGAAAATGTAAACTTGTAATAAGATATACACATATTGGTTAAATATAATAAATGTAGTATAAAAAGTTTTATATATATCTGGTATTTTGTCTGTCCATCTACTTGTTTGTTTGATTTAGATGTGATAAAAGTGATAACATGATTTTTTTTTGTGCTTTTTAGATGTTCAACGAGTCAGCTGGAATTTCTTGCCACTGATTTAGAGCCAGTTTTTCACAGGGATTTTGTTGCCTCTTTGAAAAAGCGTTATCCTTCAGCTGCCCTACGTCATCAGAAGCCCATCAAAGTAGGACAGTTAAATAGAAACTTCAAGGACAGACTGAAACATGAGCTGAAGAAAAATAGCTCAAAGGGAAATACTCAACACTTTGGCAATATTGAAGTTGTGATTCGGGGTCCAAGCACTGAGGTCACTAGTGCGGGTGGTGATAGTGTCCCCCCAGTGTGATGAAGCAGACAATAATGAAAGTGAAAATGTGACAGAAAAAGTTGAAAACACTCCACAAGATGGAGGAGATGTTAATGTAGAATCTCATACAGAGAGGCAAGGGACTGCCAGCACTGCTATCAGATATGAGGATAGTAGAGAGCCTAGTATGGAGAGGGATGCCAGGGGCAGAAGCAAGGACACTGATGGCACAGACACAGATGGAGAATATAAGATACCAGATGATGAAAAAAGACTCATTCGTCACCTTGCTGCTCAACATGAAGCACAAAGTGGGTCCAGCGATGATGAATATCTCAGTGATTCTTCTCCAGTAAAGGGACAGACGGGGGCATTAGATGCCATAGCAGAGAAAATGGTGACCAGTGCTTTGGATTCTGTTCTGCATAAAGAGTATGAAGGCTCTATAAACAGTTTAGCAGAAACTATGGCAAACAGCATTTTACAGTCTGCTGTTGATGTAGTGATTCATGTGAATAAGTATGAGGATGAAGAGGTAGAAAGAACTATGTCTAGATGTAGTGGGAAAATGTCACGGTCATCGTCAAGAATGTCACAGCACAAGTGTGTGACAGTGGATGAAGTCCAGGGTTTAGATGAGGAAATACAGGGTGAACAAATATTGTTGCAAGATGACAATCAAGAAGTGGATTTTAGTGGTGAAAAAGTTCTGACAACACAAACCACCAAAGATTCTATCCATAAAAAGCAAGTAAAAGGAACAGCTAAAGTCACAATTGCAGAAACTGCATCAGTAACAATGTTTTCAACAGAAGACATGCCATTAATTAAAAGCCCACCAAAGTGTCCTCTAAGTCAAGACAGTGAGGAATTGGAGTCAAGAGATAGTCCTCTCAGGCCTTCTCCACCATCCTCCTCAGACAGTGGGAAACTTAGGACCAGAAGTGTTAAAAGTTCAAATATAAGCACTGCAGAGTATTTCTGTGCAGATATGTGGGAACGGTTAGGTAAGATCCTTATTTGATCTACATGTAGTATTTTGGAACATTTGATCTTATTCATCCTTTCCTTTGAGTAAGATTTTTGATCATTAAATAAAAGGCGAAGACATGGTTAAATCATTGTAGGCAATAGTGCACATATACACATCACTTTCTTCAACGGTATCAATCTTTGTAAAACCCCTGTGTCCAATCTATATGAGACCTGAAATAAGTTTGAAGACATATACTTTAGCTAAGTTCAGAAACCAATTGTTATGCACTGGGAACTATGGATTGCCATTAAACATTAACCAACAGATTGAATTCTTACTTCGATTTCAGAAAATATATTTCAATCCATCTTAAATATTTTGTTTAATCCTGTCAAAACATTGTTTATAATGTGCTGTTGTTGTTTTGTTATAAGGTCCTGTCCAGAGAGAAGTGAATACAGGGTCTACCAGAAAACTTCCAGAGCTACAGGAGGTGTATGTGCCTGTGCAAAGAAGCTACAAGAATTTCAAATGGTGGGTGCAGCAACCACCAGCAGGAAAAGTCTTCGTCAAAGCAAAGAGAAGCAAGCTCAGTACAAAATTCAAGGAACAGTTAGAAAAAGTTTGGGAGGTGAGCCACATTAGTTATGAAATATGTCAACATTCAAAGAATTTACTGGCACCAGTTATGGGGTTTTATGCTGCTCCTTCATTACCATTAAGCACCCTTAATTTTGCCCAAAACTTAAATGTTTTAAATGAGTCATGAAAGTTGATTAAATTATTTAAAACCATATTAAAATTTCTGTTTTATATCCCATTTCATATTATTTTAGATATAAGAGGGTGGCTTGTTATGCAATAATATTATGGCTCATCTGCTACTTAATGTACCTGATATATATAAATATAGCTATTATTTTTTCTCAACATATTCAAGGTACATAAATGTAATTTAAGATGTGATATATAAGTATATTTTCAGTGGATGGAGGTGTGGCAGCATCACGAACGTCTGGCATTATTAGCAGAACTTGTGAAGAAGTGCAGCCCAGATGTGATCAGTTCATTGGCAGAGTGCCTTATACAGAGGTGAGCAACAAGAGGGTATAACTGAAATTTAAAAGTAAAAATAATATCTTCAATGATTAAAAAAAACAGAGTTATTTTCTGACAGTCTTCCAATTTATCTTTGTTGATCCATCCTCCATTTTTGACCGTCTTCCAACAGAAAAAATTAGATACCCGTCAATGTAAACTTGAAAATCTGACCGTCTTTCGGAAGACCCAGAAGACGCCCTAAATCCGCCCCTGGATATAGAGAATGACTTATTTAAGTTAAACACTTCAGAATTTTTCATGACCATAGTGAATTGGATCAATTCACAAATATTTATGAGGCATCAGGTATAATGATTTGGATGTTGGATTTCTTTATCCAGACTACAAGATACAGCAGACATCAACATGCTTCCAGATCACATCCTGATAAACATCTTTTCCTTTCTCACATCTAAGGAAATTGATGAAGCAGGCTTGGTGAGTATCTGGAAATGAGTAGTATTAGTGCTACATGAAAACATTGATTTTATATTTGATATGAAATGTCCAGATAATGGCAAGGGAAATTAGTTATCTACATCTACATATCTATCTAGCTTGCTTTATGAAAGAAATGTCGCTAATTGCCTAAGGTTAGGTTTAAGGTGAATACAATGACCTTTGAAAGACACACAAAGATTGATATGTACCCACATATGCAACAACATCTATTTTTAAATCTAGGTTTGTAGAAGATGGAGATACATAGCAGACACAGCAGAACTCTGGATACTCAAGTGCAAAGCCATGGGTAATGAAACAGATACTGTACAAATACTAATGTTAACTTAACGAAATGATAAGCATAGTAAATTGTTATAACCACAGATACATTAGCTTATAAATATACTTTCTTATAAAATTGTTTCATAGTTCTTAAACTCAAAATTTGTTGATGGCCTTCTGTTGACATTGTTGTAAATCCTTTTGAGTTTTCACCTTGAGCACATTAAATTGTAAGACAAAAATTAGTCAGTGGACAGCATATCTGGTTTTATACTTGATTTGAATGATATTGTAATAATATCCTGTATTTTAGGTGCAATTGAGGGTGTGCCTAACCTGACTACTATAGTAATGCAGTCTCATGCAGACCTGACTATTGACTGGAGACTGGCATATGGAGAGCTGAAGAAGATGATACATGATATGAAGGGAAATCTGGAAGGTAAATGCAGTGTTCACAGACTTTTTTCTATCACTGTAACGTGTGTGTGTGTGTGTGTGTTTCATTTTCTTTTTTATTGTCTTTTTTTTTGGTCCTTTTTTAACATATCCATAAGGAGATAATATTGGTTGACATAATTTAGTCATATAGCTGCCTGATTGAAGTTGATGTGTGGATATTGAATCTTTTTCAATACCAATTTGTTTAATTTCACCATTAAAAAACAATGAATATTTACAGTCTAGGCTTCTTTATAATTAGTATAAAGATACTGTTTTGTTGTGATGGTTTTACATGCATTGATGCAGTTTTTCTTGATTTGTTTATTGATCACATTGCACATTGCAGTGTTGTATTTTGCTTTTCTTATGTGTGTCTTGCACTTTGAATTGCACCTCAGCTCGCAAACAAGAGGGAATACCCAGAATTGGAGGAAGATTCCTGCCAATGATTAAAAACGGTAAAAAATTGCATTGCTGGGCTCCCTCTAGGATAAAGAAAAGTATTTGAATCAAACAGCATGACTACTTTAGTCAAATTAAAAATGTAATTGGCAAAATATAACTGAAACATACTGGAAAAAGCCCAGTACTACATGTTCATTTATACTTATATTTTTGCATTTCTAAGATGATTTTAGAGAAAAAATGATAATAATTTAGTACAGAAATAAAGAACAGTAAAAATGTTGTTGTTCAAGAACAGGAAAAAATACAGTGAAGAAGTTATTATGCTACCAATAAGGATGGGTATTACATTAGAAAATAAAACTGCCACATTTTTTATTTATTCAAAAAATTTGTTTATGGTGTAACAAAATGTAATTTATATTTAATTTTTAAAAATATTTTTTAATGATATTAAATTTACTTAAGTTGATTGCACATATTTTTAGCAAAAATTTAGTGTTGTTAGGAAAGCCCTGTTTGGTTTATGTTTAAGCATTTCTGTTTATTTCATTTGTTAGAGACAAGGAGTGTATCTGCTTTCTCAGAGGGTGGTGAAGCAGGTAAGAAGTCAGCAACTTTGATTAGAAAATTTATTGGAGTTTGATGTAATTTGCAGTGGAAATTTACATGCAGGAGGTAGATTAATGATTAAAAATAAAATCACATTTATAAGGACTGTTTCAGGAATTATGAGAAACTCATCTATAAAGTTGATTTATATCTGAAAAAAAATTCTTTTCTTCAAAAATAAGAGGAAAATTTGCCGTGATTGCACAAAGATAACTTTTAATGTTTTTTTACCAGATCTTAAGTATGTGACAACTCACTCCATGAGAAAGAAACAATCACGGCATCGTGCTTCAAGTCAGGGTAGTGGAGAGTCAGACACTTTCCCATATAGTGATGAATCCAACACTGAAAAGTTCCTTTCAACACCAAGGAAAAGTTTAAAACACCGTAGAGGGTCAAAGTCATCCAAAGCATCAAAGACTAAAGGCAAGACAGGAAGGGATTTGAAGACTCCAGATGAGTCCCTAGACGACCTTATTGGTGGGGAATTTGCAGAGATGTAAGTGGACAGTATGACAAGGGGTAGATATTATGCCAGCCACCAGCACTAGGTTGGAGGTACTGCAGATCCCCCTCCCCCTTATCACCCACATATTCTGCTTTTTCGTCATATTTTTATGGCAGATCTGTGAATAATCTGTGTTGTTACCAAATTTCATACAGTATGTAAAAAGTATCAATTTTCTCAGTGATTTGAAGATTTTGAAACTTCTCAGTGACACACCTGGCATTTATTGGGTTATGTTATCACAATTGAATGTCCTTTGTGGCAGGTTGTGTAATTGTTTTGACATACAGCTTAATAAGCTGTACTAAGCTACTGTAGGTTACATGCCATGTAATGTGTTAGATTTTTGATGGCAGGTACTGCCATTTGTTGTCAGATGACATGTGCTATTTAATTTGAAATTTATATAGGTGAAAAAATTACTGAAGTTAAATACATTTTCCAAATTTTCTTTTAAATTAGAAGAGAGTTATTTAATTATTTATATAAAATTTATATAAACCTTTTTTAAAAAAATTGTTCTGTATTTGATACTTTGTTTATTATGATTTTGTTATTGAGTTTTGATGTGTCAATGGTTTATGTTCCAGGGCTAACAAACCACTGAGGAAACAGATGCGTAGAGGTGGTGGGGACGGGGATGAGGATGAACTGGCCTTGGACATCAGACCCGAGTTACATCAAGCCACTGATATCATGGTAACAATATATTTTAACTATTGATACGAAAAGAATGTATTTATTATGTAATTAGTAGGTTCTTCCCCCGAAAGTGAACCACTTTGTTATGTGATTCATGATTTTAATCACTGCAAAAGTAATGTTGGATCTAGAAATGAGCACTATTTTTCCAACATTTTCAGTTTCACACTATCCTAAATCCAAGATGAGCAAATGATTGTAAAATTTTTTATAAGAATGAGAACAGCACTTTTTAAAAAATGGAAAAGTAAAAGGGCCCTTCTTCCATAATCTATATGCCTGTTGATTGTTTGGCATTGGAGTTAACTTTTTGTTTATTTGTTTTCACAGGGCAAATGTAGATCTGCTCGCAATCTAAAGTGGCAGCGAGAGGCATACTTGGACTTGAAAAACAAACAGATTCAGTATGCAGGTCTAGTGAAAGGAGTCAGTAGAGTCAGGAGATTACAGGTGACACCCAGTTTACATGATTTGAATACAGCTCTTGTGAAAGCCAGTTGTTTTTTGTTGTGATTTGGCTTTGACACATATAGTGTAAACAGTGTTACAAATATTTAAACATGCCTATGGTCACATAAATGTCATGTTTTGTATAAAATCAGAAACCTTATTAATTACAAAACAGACAGTTGTCAGATTAGAAGGATCTAATTAAAATTTGTCAATTTAAATGACTTGTCCTGGCATTTTTTAATAATATATTGTCAATGGACACATCAGCTGTCAACCCCCATCTGTTCAAACACTGAGTATCTTCTTTTTGAAAATAGGTTGATCAAATTTAAATATCAAATCTGTCAACAGAAATTCTACTAGTCTTTATGCTTGTTAGTAAATAATTATCAATCTATTTGCTATTTTGATTCTGTAGGGTCACATGAACGATGTGCTCTGTGTGACCTTTGACAGGAAGCGTTTGTTCAGTGGCAGCATGGATCGTACCATTAGACTATGGGATATCAGAACTGGGAGGAGTGTGCACAAACTTTATGGACACAAGGTAATTGTGTTATGCAGGAATACTCCTAATTCATGTGAAATAAATTCTTTTGTGTGACACAAATAACACTTTTTAATTGATAAAACAAAAGTAAAAGATATATTGAAAATTTTGTATGATGATTGTGCCATATGAAACGTACAAGTGATAATACTTAGATGGTGCACAGGCAGGAGAAAACAAAATATTTCATATTTCTTGTCTTTTAAGGGAGGCATCTGGACAATTTGTATCAGTGATGATAGGCTTTATTCTGGTTCTTGGGATACCACAATAATGGTAAGAAAGAAAATGTCATTTTGTGTATTTTATGCTGTACTACACAGGAAAATGTATATTTGTGTGTAATATTTAGTCTTTTAATAAAGTGTAAACTTGTTAAATTACGATAAATTAATATATACATAAAGGACCATATTTATTAATCTTCATTCATATAACTAGTTAATATTACAAACCAACACAAACTGCTATATATATTTTCTACTATTAAAGGTCTGGGATGTGATCAGTTTTAAGCGAATTATAGTGCTTTCTGGACATAGTGATGCTGTCAACTGTCTGAAGTGCCGTGGATGTTATCTGTAAGTTTTTTATGTTTTATTTTTAAAATTTTATTTGTTTAATTGTTGATACAGAAGGTTGTTTTTTTCTAATTCTGAAGAAGTTATGTGACTGTGAAATCTTTTGAGGATATGAGGGCAGGACAGTCTGAGTTGAAAAATTACTAGTTACATGTAATGAATTATATTTTAATTATCATAGAGATATTACTAATGAATGCATATTGAGAAAAATATATTAATACTGCACTGTCAAATTGTACAAAAAATAAGTTTGGTCATGAATAACTTTCCCCTAACTAGTGTTGCAATGTTCCTTTTTGATTAAATTGAATATGGGATGAGGCTGGAAGTCAAATACTGAACAGTTCTAGATGTCTACTTAAAACAAGTCATTTTGTACCACTCTTTAATTATCCAATATTGTGTACAGCAACTCTCAGTATGACTTGTTTTCAGGGTGTCTGGCTCTCATGACAAGACCATTAGAGTTTGGTCGACTTACAGCTATTCATGTGAACGTATCATCAGAGGACACAAGGCGGGGATTACATGTCTGGAGTTTGATGGGAGGACCATCATTAGTGGTGGTGCTGACATGTAAGTATGCCTCTCACACTAAGGGCAACTTTGTTACATTTCCATTTTTATCCATTGAAACATTTGAGCCACATGTTGTCCATAAAGCAAATTGTAGCTTGAGTTTAATTTTTAATTTGCAAACCAAAATAGACTATTTTTCCACAATGGTAAAAATGCACATACTTGCATGAGTCAAGTCACTCCACTGCCTAGACACCTGAAATTACCTGTGCCTATTTTAACCAAACCAGAAGTCTGCAGATGATATCTTGACTAAATTACTGATAATTTTGGATCATTTTTCTTTGGAAATTTCAACCTAAAAATAGCATAATTGCCTCACACTTGATATCAGATAAGGAGACATGTCTTCCTATAATACATTTTATGTGTTTTCTGGAATGGATTTTTTTGCATTCTTTATTTTCATTTATTTGTGTGCTTGTTAAAAAAAACTAAAAACATATTGTTTTATGACTGATGTAAGTTTTCTGTTTTACAGGTATAAAATTAAACAGATAAAACTGCTGATATAGTTTTGTTAAATAATTGCTAATAAATTTCAGCAATAATTTTTTTTTTCATTTCATGTATTTATTTTAGGAGGGTGTATATCCATGCAGTTCACAGTGGAGAGTGTTTGAGGTGGTTTAATGGACCCAGCCACCCCATATCCTGCATGGCAGTAAGTGAACATTTTTAATATCCGTATGTAATCTATTCAAAGTGCTCTGTGTCAGTGATTTAATCTGAAATGTCTGAATCCCTTTTTTCTTTCCTTTTCTTTTTCTTTTATATTACTATTTTGTGTGATGTCACATGTTTTAACAATCCTATATCCTGCCAAAAATTATATGTCACAACTAACAGTTAAAACTTGGTGTGAATTACTTTACATGACTAAAATTATTTGATTATACTTAATTAGCTCTGGTGAAACTTTTTTCAATTTTTGCTTCTCTTTTTAAAGTCATACTAACATGTGTTAATCCCTCCATTTCTCTTTCTCTCCCGTTCTCTCTAGCACATGCACACACGCACATACACACACAGAAAGAGTCATCCTGGTCCTCCTTCCCCATATGTCATTATCAGACCACCTATGGAGTCGTGGAGAGCCAGTTACTATTATTCTCTCTACAAACCACACACCTGTTCACATTCAAGTGCTGCTTTTTATGTATAGCCCTGTGAAGTGCCATCGTTAAGTTTTGAAAGGTAGATTTATGTTACCATTCCTTTCTTAAGTTTATTTAAGAATGTTTAGGTTTTCTCCTAAAGTTTATGTGACTTTTGTTCAAAGATAATTCTAGCAATTTCAACTAGCCTAATGCAGGTCATAAATAACAAAAACCAAACTTTTAGTTTGCCACCAAGCAGTACGGTATCAGTGCTATCACTTGTTCATATATTTTGGCATCTTGATGGAACAATGATTTGGCTTTTAAAAAGTGGCATACCTTTGGCTGGTGATTACCCCGGTAAACCTTCATTTAAGAACTAGATCATACAGGCACAAGTTGAGACTTCAAAGGGAACCCATTTATGTAACCCACCTATTTCATTTCAGAGATGTGCAATTATACTTTCCAATCCCTTAAGTTTGTATTTTTTTTAACTTAAGGGTTATATATTTCAATTGGCCCTTATCTTTATGAGTTAAAATGCCTTTGTTTTCAAAGTACACTGCTATTTGTGGTCTGACACCAATTGAATTTATGGTGACACCACTTCAACACCTGCTTATTATCCTGCTAGTCACATAATGATATTTTTCACTGGATAGGAGGAGGGAGGAAATCAATGCTCTTCAGGTGTGTTCAGACATGAACTTAGACCTGGTCAATTTAGGTCTAAACACAGCATAAAGTGACCATTTGTGCCACTTGATTAGGTCAGAGTCAAAACACCCACAAGGAAGGCCAGTTAGACATCTACTAATGAAGTCTTGTTAATAATTGATCATCCATTATATAAACAGAGGAAGGTGAGTGTGACTGTCCACTGGGTGCAGACAGCTAAATCACTTTGTCAGAGCACACATCTGAAGGTGCTGTTAAGAAATGAAATAAACATTTCAAAATGTTGGCATTCCTGCTCAAAGTCACAAGTAATGAATTTTATCTCAGTTTACGACAGGTTGATTTAAACTAACCTATGAGGTGATAAATCCTTCAGCAAATTAAGCACTTTGTTCCACAGGTGGTAGCCTGCTGCACACAATTTAATTGAAGTGATTTTAGATTATAAAATAATGAAGACTATTCTTTCTGTAGATTGTATTACGTCATTGCTTGAATCATCACAGATCATAAAATAGTGCTTCTCCTTTGAAATGTACCTTTATATGTAGAAGATTGGGTCATTTTTATGTGGAGGCCCCCTGCCATAAATCACAGAGAAAGAGAGTGGCTCTGAATAAATTTTCAAAATCATTAAAACTACTTTTATGGGCTTTAGAATTCCACTTGTTCTTGTCACATAAAATTTAGATGTATAACTAAAGAGTGAAATTATGCATTTGTGGTTGGCTCAACAGTCTAGTGGTATAAGAAATGGGAATATTATTACTTTAACATCATGGCATAGATGAACTAGCTTAAGTGGGAGAATTGGAGAGGAAATGGAGTGGTTTGAGTTTGGTTTTCTTCTTAATTGAACTAACAGTCATAAAAGGATTAAATCTAAATTTTGATAAATGTATCACTAAATTTGGCTGGTGGTCAGAGCACTAAGTGCAAAATCCAAGATTTCTTGAAAGTTGATAAATTTGAATGACTCAGTTTTTTAAAATAAAATCAATTACTAGATAAGCTGCTTGTACATGTACTTTTTTCTGTGACAGAAAGCAAAATTATCCAAAAATGAAATGAAATACAACCCATTCTGCAAAACTGTAAAAGAAGAAATATTTTAAGATGGGAATTATACTACACTTTGTGGTTATGATTAGGTAATTTTTGTTGAAATACAAGGTGCTAATGATGGAGTGGGAGGTGCCCATCCCAGTGATGGCAGGGCCAGCTGGGATTAGGCAGTAGAATAATGCACATTATATCATGTATATATCGCAAAACAGATAAAAGAATCTAGTATTTTAGTAACATATAAGATGATTTGGATAAACTTGTACATTTTAAGCAGTGACTTTCTACTGGTAACAATATCTTTATTTTTAGATAAAAAGCAAAGATTTTTTTATCAGGTTCGTAATGAAGTGATTTTTGCAATTTTATATATATGAACTTAATGAGACAAATATTTATATATATTTGATTGAATACAAAGTTTGATTTATTATTATTATTATTATTATTATTATTATTATTATTATTATTATTATTATTATTATTATTATTAAATTGAAAGGAAAGGGATGGAAATGTTGACCTTTTGGCAGTGGAAGTGGGGATTTGTGTTAAATTGCTCATAGATTCCTGAGGTAGAAAGCTCAGTGGAAAATAATTCCGGGGTAATTTTGTGTGAAATCACTGGTAATATTATAGGCAATGTGGTCTTGGAAAGAACAATGCCATGGTGAACCCTTACCACAAATGGCTACCACTTCCTCTTTGAAAATACACCCCGTCTCCAAATTAAGGTAGATTATGTAATAGATTTACTATGTATAGCTGACCCAGAGACTACGCAAAACCCGCAAAGTACTTTCTGCATAGTAATGATATTAGGATTAGAACAGATTATGGTATTTAAGCAAATATGACATTTTTAGTAGGTGACCAAATATTAATGCCTAGTTCTGTAACACTGCTTCATATTATTTCATTCTAATCCCATAGAAATTAGCAGTATATATTAGCAATATATATATTTTAAAGTAAATTAGTATTTCACCTAGCTATTGTACATCTTTTTAGTATTCTATAAGTTATCAGAGCTTCAGTGTTAGTCCTCTTCTATTGTGACCTGTTTACACACACAGACACTGTCCAGTGGTTTGGTCAAAATGTCTCCCCCTGCCTCTTTATATCTTGTATCTTGTCATATTGGAATTGGGAAACAAATCCTACTATTACAATGGAAATACTACTACATGGCAGGGACAAAATCAGTAAACTATGCAGAGGGTTTCTTCAACTTGGTGTTGCTCTCCCTTTTTTCCACTTAGCTCACATGTGGTTGCACTATTTTGGTCACGTTTCTTTGCAATGAGAGAGAAGTGTGCTATATGCTTCTCTTATTTATTTTCACTAAATGCATTTATCGAGAGTGAGTCTAGCAGAGTAGACTTTTAGAACAAGAAATATAGTCTAGATATTTTTCATCTTGCCATGTTTTCATTCTACCTGTGTATTCTAGGTGCAAGGAGACCTGCTGCTGTGTGGCACAACTGGAGGGGTGGTGTATTTCTGGGACAAGACCAGTGGAGAGTGTGAGGCAGCAGTGGAGGCACATCAAGCTCCCATCAATGGCATTGATTTTCATTCAGGGAGATTTTATACTGCTTCTGAGTAAGGATGATATCATTTATTTATTTATTATTTATTTTTTATTTTACCATTGCAGTTTGAGAAATCACACAGTTGCTTGAACACCATGCCTGCATGTTATAAATTGCTGCATTTTTACATTAATTTGACTTTCAAGAATAAAAAAACTTTTGTAATTAAACAGAAAATATATGGCCTATTCATGGGTTACTTGCAACATTTTCATCTTAGGTTATTCAAAAATTAGCAGTTTGTCCTTGGCCTTTTACTCTTACAGCCCCTTTCTTTATTAAACTTGCTAAAGTGGTCTATTGCAGATGATAGATGGTGTGAAAAACTGTATAAGTTTCTTACATGAATAACTATTTAAAGAATATTTCTATGGAGTAAAACAGGTACTTTCATTGTCACATTTTTATTTTATCCTTAGTGATGCAGTGATCAAGGAGTGGGACCTTATTACCATGACCTGTGTACGTTCTTTACATGGACACAAGGGCCCTGTAAATGATGTGAAGGTATGATATATATTTGTATTATGCTTAGCAAATTAGAAAGGTAAATGTTCTATGTCTTAAATGTCCTTAACCTTAGGTCTTTCAAGGCCATCTGTGCACATGTAAGGCAAAACAAGTTGTGCACATTAAATTTTCATAAAGTGAAGGCACTTAAATTTGGTTTTATCACATGCTTAACAACTCTGTTTATAATTTTCACATTTCATTTTTGTATTTTTAGAGAAAATGTATAACATTAAGATGAACCTAAAAACAGAGCAGAACAAAAGATGTCACTAGCTGCCAAGCTGAGCCACTTTCATTGTTTGCTTTTTCATCTTCTCTAGGTGTCAGAAGACAGGGTAGTGACCTGTAGTGATGATGGTAATGTCAGAGTCTGGGATGTCTTCACACCACCATTGCTAATTGGAGAAAAAGAAGAAGATACTCTCCAGGCTGAGTTGATAGATCAGCGTCTTTGAAAGCTGAGTTAACTGATAGACAGACCACTCGCAGACAGCACTCAAATTTTTTATTCTCTAGAGACTATTTTTGATGAGTACTGTTGTTTTTTTTCCATTACAGAGTAAACCACATTGGCCACTTTCAAATTGCGTGGTATACTTTAACAATACAGCTTTACCAGTGCACTTTGAGAGATTGACAGCATTATATCCTGGGTCTTACATACTGGCACAGCTATATCATTGAAGTAGACTGCTTGATGTGAAAAGATGTAGTTACCCTACATAACCAGGGCTACCAACAGAGTATTTCTTAATATTGTGATGCTGGTATTAATATAAAATGTTAATAGCAATGTTAAGATCTGTCATTTATGATGTTATTAACAATAGGACAACACCAAAAATAATGGTAATGGAATTGCAAATGTGAAGACTACTTGTGAGTGTAAAGAGGTGACACTCCTTGCAACCAGAATTGATAAGTCTGCAGCAAGGATGAGCACTGTGGCATTCAACATACACGTTTTCATCAAGATTACGTCATTCTGGGACTTATTTTGTTTGTTTGTTCACCTTCACATGATTAATTGGACCTTGACTTGAAACTGATGACAGAATAACAAAGTATTTACTTTCAGAGCAATAGATTCACCAGGGTATAATTTAGATTTATTAAGTTACTTTTTTATTATATGATAAGCATATGTAATGTAATAATATTTAATATATATATATATATAATTATATAGTTACATTTTGACCTCTGAAGTTTATAACAGCAAAGTATACAGGGTGTCAGAAAAGTTGGTTATCTGTAACTGTGTCAGTGCCATAATGCTACAGAAAATTATTGTGACAACTGCTCAACTTCCTTTCTACTGAGGAGTTTGAAAAAGCAATCGCTTCATTTAAACTTGATATTAATATATTTGTCTTGCCATTTTTCTATACAATACCTTAACATAAGGGTTATTTGGTCATTTATGAAACACAATAACTTATATTTTATTTCTGCTATTATGCAGCTTAGTTTTATATATTGAAAAATGTATTTATATATAATAGTTATCGGGTATGGAAGGAAATGAGATATCCAGATATAGATGGGCCAGATTTGGTAATATTTACTACCAAGACTATTTTGGAGAAGAAGCCTTGGTCATGTGTGAGCCCATGTATTCAATGAAAAGTGTGTGTTTTAAACGCTCAGCTATCAAACCGTCCACATTACTATAATTTACCAAAGCGTGTAAGTTATCATGACCCATGGGAGCTTACAGACCTCTGAAAATCTGCCTGATTTACAGATGGTTCTCTAAGGTGATTGTGTTGTGTTGGATCACCCAAAACAGCCTTTGTGAAGCTTTCATGAAGGTGATGTAATTTTCTTCCCTCTTACCCTGCCTCACCTTGGCGTTTTGAGATAAACAAGAAGCCTTTGTGCTGTAAAAGTCAAATGTTTACAATCATGTCAGAAGGGTGCACAATGTTTTTTCTTTTTTTAAAGTTTGGCTTTTTTTATAGATGTCATGTAAGATAATACAAACTGGCTTGTATCATGAGATAAAAAACACTATTTGATTTTAAAAGTTCAGATTCAAGTACAGGTGTATTGAAAAAGTTTTTTTTTCCATCAGTGAGAAATTATTTTTTTAGTAAGATTATTTTTCAGATACTATGAAAAAACTCTGGTTGAAGAATTCATGAGATACAGGTGTTTAATTTCTATCCACCAAGTTAACATTTAGATGTGCCAACAACTGAAGAGATTGTTTACCATGTTTTTATTAAAATATTTGTGATTCAGGAGTGCCTCACTGATGAAAGAAATCACCTCACTGGATTTTTGAGTTTGCATCTTTTAATGTGATTTGTTGTATTATAGAGGATTTTTTTCTCTTTAATACCCACCCACCGCTTTAAGATTTAAAAAAAATTGTTTATCACGTTTTTTTATTTTGATTTCAATGTTTTTATGCACAAAAAACACATAACTTTTGTTGTAATTGTGCATATGTTGTAGAAATGTATTACAGTGTAAAGTTTTTAAAAAATCTGTTTCACTTGTTTTCGACAATGTGTAATGCTATATTAGCAGTTGTGCAAACTGTTTGACTTTATGTTTTACATTATGTGCCTTACGATTGGGCTTCCCAATTCACATGATGTAATATTGACTCGTTAAATACAGTCTAGTGCCTGTTTGATATTGTTTATTTTGTGTATTTGCATTCATTTTTATTAGAGGAAAAATGCAGTACTTGAGTTCCTGGTGTGGATGAAAAGTGTCAAAATATGAGAACTGAAATGTTGCCAAATTGTCTGAATTACATTGGAAACCCAACCGTTGTGTTCCTGGCCTCAGAATGACAACAAACGCAATCTCCGAATCTGATCAGGTATCTTAGCGGTTTTCGAATCGTGCTTTGAATTAAGTTAATGATAGTCTAAAAAAGAAACACATGGAGTGTCATATTTAGTTGTTGACCTTTTTTCCGGGGCATTTTCCCTTCCCTACTTATTTATGTAGTATCAAATGTAACAAAAGGTGCAGTAAGTGCATCAGCCTGTTTTTGGTTTTTCGGAAAATAAAATGGATTTTGTGAAAGAAAGGGCCTTTTTTCACTCCAGTGAAAAGATTTTGAAAAAAAGATATTTATGAATTATTTTTAAAAGTAAAATTTGTACAAAAAATTATAACTACAAAACAGAAAAGAAAAATGAGGCCGTTGCTTTTATGAAAGTTTGAATTGAAACTGAAAGAGAAAATGTTTTTAAGGCCTAATAAAGATAATGTTATTTTGGGAAAGAGCATTTTTCTTGGTTTAGTAATCCCTGCCGATGATAAGGAAGGGGATAAAACTCCAGTTATTTCATTAACACAGCTGAAAAATCGCTCAGTACCTTTTTATGGGAGGGGGAACGGGATTGTTAACTCTTTTGTAACATGGCAGGTATACCAGACAGACAGCTGGTTCGCGTCAAGTTAATGCTCCTTTAAAAGCCTCATCGCGTTTGCGTTATCTGTACATTAGTTAATTGACTGCATCCAGCTTCTGTTGATGCCTTGAACTTTCATGTTACCACATTTATCTAAACATTTGCTTTGCTTTTAAGCGGCGTGTTTAAAACGTGCTTCTTCGCGAGCTTAGCTATCCCAAACATTTGCCCGACTTTTAAGCCCCGGCGAGTAAGATCTCTCTGGACAGTGTTATCATTCGGATCGCACATGGGGTAAAACTTCAAAGTAGAAGACGATCCAATTAGGACGGAGAAAGGGAGGACTGTTGCTTCAAATTTGCTAGGCGAAGGTGGTGGAAGAAAGATAACCCGAGTTGTTCGCACTCAGTCACCTGCTCGAGAAAAAATTGGAAATTTGTGTGGGACGGGGCTGAGGGGGGTGGGGTAGAGACAGATGTAGGGGGAATCCAGGTCCGTTCGCAAAAGTTGGGAGGTGTAAGCAAAATGAAGGCACAAATGGGGCTCTGTTTTCGGGCCTAATATCGACATTCGTAGTCGGGTGTTATATCGGGCGTTTTAATTCCATACCAACTGGATTAAGCGGCATGGATATCGAAGTTGTCAGCATTTACGACTATATACTGAGCCGCATCATTAAGGTTGTTCACCTAGCGCGTGGCGTTGACGTCATAGTCATACCTGCCGCTGATGACGTGCTCTCTCTTAGGGGACCGCGGATCTCTTACACAGCTTGCTGGTGTCACTTTTCTCTGCCATTGGGCGTGAGCGTTCACTTCACCACTGAGATTACCACAGGGATTCGCGTGAATTTTATCAGCTTAATTAGAGACGATTTCTGTACATCTGTTCAGGAAAACCTCAGCGCACAGTGCCCGCGGAAAGAATGGCTCCCGCCCTTCAGTTTTGGCAAATTAGTAATCGGTTTTGGCAGAAGAAAACATCGACATTTAGAAAAACGGCATTTTTTGCAATTCTTTGAGTGTTATTATAACAACATAAAAGTCCTGTTCCGAACCGCGAGGTGTTTCAAGCATTTTTGCGACTTATCTCTGTCTTTGGTAGGAAGCCCGTCTCTTATTCTTTATAATTCTTCGAACGTTGATTCTAGTTTTATTGGCTTATCATAAAATTCTACGGTGGAGCACAACCAGAAATCGAATAAATGTCAAATTATAATATGAAATTATTATGGTTACTCTTTTCAGCGTTGTCATCTATTACGTGAATCTTCTTAACCATGCTTAAAAACACTAACCAAGCCTTTCTATCATAATTTCAAGACCCGTTATCATTCTTTAAACCAAATGATATTTCAGGATGGAAATTGGGGCATTGGCAAGAGCGGCATTTTCGTCATATTAAACCAGTATGTACTATGTGATACCGTCCCAAATTTTACATTTCCCATTCCACACTCTAAGCATACAATGAAAAGATATTTTGAATAAAAATTACTTACAAGAGTCGCTACAGTAATCCTATAAATTATAACAACAAGACTATTTTTCATCATTGAAAAAAAATTAAAATATCATGCCACTGAGAAGTCGATTAAATTTCAAAAGTTAAATACAGGGTGTCTCAGCATGAATGTAACCCAATAATGTGAAGGCCATTTATTTTTTGTTTACAAACTACATACAACCCATATATTTCCGAAAACTTAGTTAACAAATCTACTGCTACAAACAACATGACACTAGCTCTTCTGGCGAAGATTTCATCGTCATTTATAGAATATGCTCCAAATGTGCTCCGTTGTTCTGGAGACAAACTTGAATTCTACGGACGAAGTTGTCGTTGATGTACTCTTCTTATGGTATAGCTCTGATTTCTTGAGTGATTGCAGCTCTGGAACGGTGTGTGCATTGTTCCTGTCGACCAACAGAGATGAAAGTCTGGGGGTGGAGGTCGGGGTAATGCGGAAACCACTCAGGTTCGCGTTTGGTTCTGAACAAATTCTGGCATGGACTGGGGCTCAAGAGCCGTGGAAGCGGTGCAAACAGGGCTCAGGGGGTACCACCAAGATGGGGCTACCCCTCATACAGCAATTGTTTATCTAGATTGGCTGGACCAGTTTTCCAACCGATTTATCAGCCGCAAACATGCACTTGAGGGGCCTCGTATTCCACCGGACTCAACCCCTAGGATTTTTATATGTGAGGGTATTTGAAGGAATTAGTCTACAGCAACAACCCCCACACTATACCAGACCAGCAATCACTCAAGAAATCAGAGCTATACCAAAAAGAAAAGTAGAACAAAGACATTAGCAACTTCGCCCGTAGAATTCAAATGTGTCTTCAGCAGAATGGAGATCATTTGGAGCATATTCTACAAATGGCTATAAAAATCTTTGCCAGTAGAACTTGTGACATGTTGTTTGTTTGCCAACTTCTCCAGATTTCAGAAAAATATGAGCTGCATGAAGTTTGTAAACAAAAAATAATGGCGTACGCCTTCTTTGGTTACATTATACTCGGAGACCCTGTACATGCTGGTAAGGAAGTCACTAAAAACTGGTGATCACTAAATTAGCTTTGATAACATCATAATTATTAAACACCATTTGATGAATTGGGAGGGGCAGTCTTGGTAATATTGCCTCTGCACTAGAAGCACAGAAAAAACGTATGGGGTAAGGGGGAACATAAAATGTTAATGCCATTCTTCAATCAAATGTAAGTCTTTAAAAAAAATAAGCGCTTTTGCGCGAGACCACCTGATTTTAGGCGCCATAAGCATTTTCATCTCACTTTATTAAAAACCTATCATCCTTACGTAATAGGCCTTCTAATGCATTCTTCATTATAAAGATAACTAAAATCTCACGATTACGTCTTCATTTCTACCAAAATCAATACTGAAAGGCCGGTTGAATACCGTGCAATGTATACTTATTTCGAAATCCTAAGGCCCGCCGAGAAAAGCTGCGCATGGCTTACTGAAAAGATATATTAGTTTCAAGTATGACATGTAACTGTCCCAATATTTCTTTTACTTTTATTTGGTATGCAGGACAGTCTTCAGCCCAATTAAGTTTTATATGGTATGGAAAGTATCTCAATACACGCAGGACAGCAGGCCACAGTAACCAAACTCTCGTTATTTGTCCGGTTGACGGCATTTTCTTGTGACCCAAAATTCCAGTCGGTCTTAAAATTGACTTTTGTCGGGCATTAGTTAAGTTGTCTCGAAGTCCCACCACGAAATCATTTCGTTTTGCTCTCAGTTCTAATAAAAGTTAAGGAAGTGAACCAAACAATTCCCATTTCAAGCCTGTCCCCGCATTATGTCGCTTAGACGTACCGCATAGCGATTGGATTGACGAAGCAGGGAAATGTGCGGATTCGGAGTCAATTATAGGCATGTAAGATTATTTTTATCAGCAAAGAAACGGCTCCCCTGTCCTGGATACAGCTAAACTTAAAAGGTAGGCATCCGGATTAACAAGTAATCCGATCACAACGTGCGTTTAGAAGAACTCGGCTTAATGCATACAAATGAAAGGAGATAAATGGCAGGAGATGTATTGCTTTGATTACTTAATTATTTTCGACAGTAATTTTTCAACGTTGCTGAACTCGAATCCAAAATACATATTATGTCAGCCTTATCTTGATCAGGGCATTCATTGACTTCAGCGAGTTCTGGGACAAGGGGCGCGTAGACCGTTTTAAGATTACTTTAAGTGCAAGAAACAACTAGTTTCTGTCGCCCATTGTTGTACATATTATGGCTAATTACTTTTAAATCCAGGTGTGGTAAGTATAACCGAGTTTTGCGTTACTAGAAGGACTTGGCAATTACCTGCTGAACAAACAAGCGTCTACGACCTCGACCAGGGTGGCCAGAAGGGTGGACAAGGGGCGCGCACTTTTTTCCAATATTTGACCGACCAATTTCACACTAGGACAAGAACATCAGCAGCAATCAATCTATAACGAATTTTCTGGAGCAAGAGGATGGAAAGAATTTTACAGCAGGCAGACAGGGGAAAATCGGTAACGAGAAATATATTTAGAGTCATTTAGAACCAGTCACCAACCCTTGCAAATGAAACCCACCGACGAGACAAAGCACCGTGGTTTAGCGAACCTGACGCAGCTACGCGCAGTTATTTAAAGTTACCGCAACTGTTTGTTTGCGTGTACGACTTCCAACTTGACAATCCCGTAAGGTGACAATCTACATAGAACGTGCCTCTCGCAGAGAACTTACTGGGACTAACATTAGGTTCCTACTTGTATCAAATTCACTTTCGTCGTCGTCGGCAAAGGAGATCGAACGGAAGCGCCAAAAGACACGATTTCTTAAACAATCTTGTGGGTTTGAGTATCGTGTGCATTTGTCATCTATGCCACCTTATACCGTCCCTTCAAAAGCGGGACAAACATGTTAAAAGCTAGGCAAGCAAAACCTTGCAACTGATTTTGTGAGTATTTTTGTCAACTATCGCCGAAAAACCATAAACATTGAAACAGTGCACCGAAGTGAGAGCCCCGGCTTCCTCTGAGGTATAACTTTTAGAAGAAAAAGTTTTAAGTTCTGTAACCTCGTAGTGATCGTCTGCAATATCTTTTCCCCACCTGGACACACTGTGAAGATAAAATTCAGCAGTTGGGAAACAAACAACATCGAGTACAGAACTTGGACAGTGTTTGAGCAGATTGCAATATCTCTCCTCAAAGCCTCCATTCGCACTTTAGTAGCAGGTGTAAACCCGTAAGTGGTGAATGGTATTTAACTTAGACTGACTGCTTTCAGGGCACGTTTGCGAAAATGCAATTGCCAGATTCCCCCGGCGGTGGAGTATGTTACTTATTTCTGTTCATGGCCGTTCGACTGAGTTCCACGGCGGTAGGGCTTCAGACAGCGATCAAGATGCACCAGGGGGCGATCCTTAGAGGTCACACAACAGTGGACGGGGAGGAGCACCTGGAAACGGCGGCTCATCTGGTGCAGAGTGACATTAGCCATAGTCGTAGCCAACACGATGAACTGAAGATGCTCAAACTCTTCGGATTGAGTGAAAGGCCCAGTCCCAAGCCTAATTCAACTGTACCTGGTTTTATGTACCAGCTGTACGAAAAAGTTAGGCTGTCTGAAGAAAGGGACCAGGCAAGATGTCATTTCTCTGACCAGAGCATCCCTGGGAACGTCATAAGGAGTTTGCGGAATAAGGGTAAGCAACATGCATCCTATATTTGATAAAGCGTCTAATATACAATACTTCGAGTTCACATTACGAGCCGATCAGAGTTTGCATATTTTTTTCTGGTTGTGCTTCTTTTGAAATCTAAACTAAGTCACAATTTTGTATTATTTTTTAACTTATCTCCTTATAAAATCAAGGGTGCAATAATTTACTATTCGAAAGAAATATAATGTATTTATATTGAATACTCATATGAATATTTTGATTTTTCCTTGTTTCCAGGTTTTGTCTTGCAATTTTGTTAAGCATAGATGGAAATTTTCGTAAATTCTGCTTTGTTGTTGATTCAATCAGTTTCCTACAAAATAAGTATCAACATTCATTTTTTAAGAAAAGATTATCCAAAGCTCAGTATTCAAGAAACTTGAGCTTAGTTTGCTTTATCGTCAAAAGTGTTTCGTTTCATCTAATAAGACAGTAAATTAAGTTTTCTGACTGGGTAGCTAGCAGTTTCTGGTTCTTTAAAGATGAAAATCACTATGATTACTGTCAATGATAATTTAGCTGTGATATATAGTGCGTGACTCAAGGCACACATCAATTTGGAACGGACAAGAAACAAACAACGATTTTTGGCAGGCTGATCAAGCAAAAAGGATTCACGTGATGACTAACTGGATTTTTTTAAGTATTCAGTTTTTTTCCCGTTGTCTTTTAACCGATTTATCTTTGAACGTTGTTTTGTTTTGTTTTTTTTACGATCATTGCCAAATAGGACGACGGCATTGCTTAACAGTTTTGCTTTTATATCTTCTATTTGTGTTCATATGTATGCTAAGGTAAAATACCTTATCTTAAACATTTCATTTTTCATGGCCAAATCAATAATACAATCATCATTACAACACAAAAACCTGGAAAGAGATTTGAATTTATTTAAGCCTAATACGAGCATCATTGAATCTTATTAGGTTTTCATGAAAATGAATATGCAGCATATTTGGGTTAGGTAGAAGAAGCTGACAGATGAGGTGACCCTTGGACAAAACTAAATGTCATTTTAATTTTCAGCTTTTTTGCTTTTTCTAGAGAGGTACAGAAAGGAGAAAAAGAGCAGTGCGCCGAACTGAAATTACCCCGAAGTCGTCAGCGCGTCTTACCTGTAGATTACTTTTATTATTTCAGGTCCTCCAAAAGACCAAGACTTACGATTTCATCCAAACGGAGTAAGGATATTTTTTAATCTGTCCGTGGTCCCAGCGTTAGAGTCGGTCACCCGGGCTGAACTGCGAATAGAATCATCTCAGTTGACAAAACAGGACAGAGCGGAGAATTCACAGAAGTGCAAGATAAGCATTTACCAAATTCGACGCACTTTAAATATCAGAATTTCCAGTTCAATTGACTCACTGCACCTAAAACACATATCTTCATCAGTATTTGAGCTGAACACTGAAAATGACTCGCTGGATTCATGGCAATCACCAGACCTAATTGAAATCGTCAAATTTTGGTCGGAAAATCCCACCAAAAACCATGGCCTTTACTTACTTCATGAACCATTAGAATCGAATTCAGTCGAAAACCGCGACTCGTTGTGTTCAAATCTAGAAAGTAGTTCGATCTCTCTACTAGTCGTTACCAGCGACACATCAAAATGTCACCACAGAGTCCGGCGTTCGAAGCCAACAATAAATTTCGCACGCAGCAATCTTTGTCGCCGCCACGCGTTGTTCATCGATTTTAAAGATGTCGGCTGGGCAAAGTGGATAATCTCCCCTGTTGTCTATCAAGCTTATCGTTGTCAAGGCGATTGCCCGTTTCCACTGAACGAACATTTAAATGGGACTAACCATGCGATTATCCAGAATTTAGTCAATTCAATGTATCCGTCGACTGTGCCACGCGCCTGCTGTGCGCCAACCCATCTTTCTGCCATGTCAATGTTATATTTCGACAACCATGACAACGTTGTCTTAAGAAAATACGAAGACATGATAGTTGATTCTTGTGGTTGCCACTGACAACTTGGTAACTGTAATGATATTGCTATTGTCAATATAATTTTATAATTTGTGTGTAAAGCAAAAAAAAAAAAAAATGAATCCAATTTAGAAAGATCTGTTTTGTCCTGCTCGCTTTTATTGTTAAAGGTTGGAGGGGGGATGAATGCCTTAACCTTGTCTCGGTACATGTTGTAACTGGTATATCTGAAACTATGGTACATATAAAAAGACATTTATCTATTTTATTGCTGCAAACAAAAAAATGAAGCCGCTAAAAAGTTATTCTTGTAGTCGATTGTTTTTTATTTATTTCCAAGCACCTCTGAATATCTACAAAGAATTGAAATTCACCTCGCTGCTTTATTTTCTATAATTTAAGCATCATTCTGTAAGTGAGTGATGAAATTGTACACGCCTTTCCACTTAAAAATGAGTATCAATAAAATGCGATTGTTGAGAATTTTTTCATCAAGGTGCCTTTTTTTGCTTCCGCATTTGACGACCTTCCCAGTGTCAGTTAAACGACTTAGTCATAGAAAGCTAACATCTGGCGGACCTAGCCTTCTGGAAAATCAATTTGAGGGGAAAATACTTACAAGAGTTTACAAAAATGTTATTACTTTTTCTTCACGGGTCAACAGCTTTGTTTTTACTTTTAAAAACCGCAACAAGCCTACGTCTGGTAGCATTCAGGGTTTTCTAACATTTTCAGAGAGGGAAGGAAGGAAAAACGGCATAGAAAAGGATGGATAATTTTGCATGTGTCTTAGGTCATTGTTCATTTTGTGTCGTAAAAATTGTCTACGGCATCTCCTAGTTTACATAAGCAGTCTTTGTAAAAAAATCACTTTTCAGTTTACTTTTCATAACAGTCTGAATGTCTCAGTGTTGAATGATGTTCGTCGGTTATTATTACTACGTTACTGGATACAGTCAATAGATATACGCCCTTATGGTATCCATTTCTTTAAAAACTCTGCAGGTCTATATATCACCCCAAACCTGTCTCTAAAGTGTAACGGAAAACGATTTTCAAAATGTCACTAAAATTGGGAAGAACAGTCCTTGCTTTAAAAGTTAATCTCTCCCTCTCTTTTCTCTCAAATAACCCCTCCTCCCACACCACCAAACCGTAAACGAATCTAGTGAGAACCAGCTGGCAGAAATCCACACCAAATGTGTATGCATTTGGTAGCAATCTCTCCGCTTAATGTTGTAATATGTTAACACTACAGTTTGGTATTTAACCCATCTGTTGGGTTCCCTTGTAGGTAAGACGATTTAAAACATAACAGTTGCTCACGCTGATTACACTTGTTGTAAATATTATTTCTTTATTACCATTATATCAAAACTGTAGATATTTTTAAGGACAGAAGATTTCTACAATACCTGAAACTATAGATTACATCAAGGATATTTCCGTTTACTTTGATTACATCATTGATGTCTCCCGAATTGATCTTGCATTATTTACAGGCAATCAGCGCAATTTATCTTTTGTTTTATTAATTTGATAAAGCAAAACTGTGATGCAGGAAGGACGCAAAATTTTCAAACAAAAGTTAAATCAGGTTAATTTGTGTAGTTGATGAAAACATTATTAGATTTATGCAACATAAAAAATGTTTTGTATCTTCATTTGAGGTACACGAATTCTTTGAATATATTCTTTTGAGTAAAATTGCTTTTTTGTGTGTGAAACGGCTTAATTTTCTGAAGACTATGGGCTGGTTTTCTCGTTGTTTTCGGGTCCTGAATTACAGCGATGTGTTTGTCAAAAGCATGAAAGTATCTTACACCTCCCCTCTCTTTCAAGTGCCACTGGTTTTTTACTTCTGACATTCCGAAATGTGCGGGAAAATTGAATTTCAATTCTTAATGTCACTTGACTTAGCGCGCGTGCTTTTGTATAGATCTTTTTCACAAAGTAAAAACTATCGAAAAGACTTTACACCCGCAACGAGGGAATTTTTACAGACATCTAAAGTTTGTGCAAGCATATTCAAAAGAACGTCTAATTCAATTTAGAAAAAAGCTTTGAACTTTTAACGATAGGATCGATATAGGAAGGTACTGAGTAAACTTGACAGAAAATTACCGTATATATTCTACTGAATAAGATATATTAAATTGAAGGCACATTTAAATAAAATTAATAAAAAAAACTAGAACTAGCGTCTTAGCTTGTCTTTTTCAAACCAACTTTCTTATCTCAATAAACACATAAAGAAATATATGAGTGTCACAGTAATGAATAATGTCATACTGAGCATCAAAGGACGAGGAAGAGGTTTTGGTCTCCTTGAAAATGTGTGTCACAGCGCATTTACTGCTGGACCACGCTGAAGTTACATTAATTATCTCACAGTTCCCGTCTCTACGGAGTGTCTCCAGCGAAATCATGGTCCATCATTTCTGTCACCGTCCTCTAGACACTGACACAGGAATGTACGCATCATGAATATGTAATCCTTCCCCAAACATTCCATATGAATACAATTGATTACGTACCTCTTTGAGGCCGCAATGAAAAATTATGCTGGCCTTATGAATTATGAGATGTTTTTGTCTCTCTCCCTAACCAGCCACTGTACGGTTAAACTAAGTGTTTAGTGCAATATCATCTCCTTAACGGTGCACACCTGACTCAGTGTAGGAGAGAGTGTTAGCAGAGCTCGAGACACTGGGGAGCCGGGTGTCAGAAAATCGTAGGCGACCGAGATATCTTGCTTTGTTTTGGTCTTATGGGGATTTGTTAACTCTTTGTTCCGCGTGCAAGTAAGGGGCCGAGACCTCCTAAGAGTGACCACCGCAAACATCTTGACTTTATATTCTGTGTGTCTTGGAGTTGTGAGACACCCACTTGGAATCCTTCTGAACCTGTTTAAAGAGTTTACGCAAGCTACACAAAACTAAGTAATCAGGCGTCGCTGGACACGAACACAACTGCAGTCGAGAACTGGTCAGTTTGATGTGCTTAATGTCTTCGGCTGGAATTCCTTGGAATATGAAACCCACGGATGTACTAGGACTAGAATATAAAACCAGAGTATATAGTGAAGGTAATGTCACAAGATCCAATAATCCATACCGGTTTTTCTAATTTCTTAGCACTGACGATATAATAGGACAAGACGGTCGCACGTTTTCAACGCGTCGTCTTCCGCAACGGACTTGGATTTGGAGGGAAATGTTAACGTGAACAGAAGTAAGTAGACTGAAGCTACTATTTTGTAAAGAGCCCGTAACATAGTAAATGGACTAAAACGTCGCGTGTTTAACGGGACGAATAATTCTAAGGCACAAATCGTTGATATAACGATGAGATAAAAAGGTATCAAAGCCAAATAAGACACACTAGGGTGAGCGCCGTGACGTTAAGCGTTCTGATTCGACACACTAAGTGAAAAGAACGACATATATTCTAGAGCCTACCTACGCCTATCGTCTATCTCTCAAACCGACTTTCAATCAGAGTTCAACGAACGATACCATAATTTAAAGCTGAAACCGGAACAAAAGGAAAACGGTAAGGTGTTTTTCGCCTGTTTATTGTTTCTGGCTGCTTGTTTTTCACCTAAGGTGACACTGTGGACCCATATTTATGGTACTTTTTCCGTAAGACGAATGTTATCGGTGACAACAATTCTGGCTGTACTTATCAGTATTTAGATGTTTGCTGAGGTTGTATATATCAGTTAGTAAATCCCCTTCATTTGATACCTTAATCTTGCCTGCGATTAACAGCGGGGATTAGTAGTAGAGAGAACGGGTAGGTATAGTTAGACCATTGGTCAGTTCAATAAGGTTGCAATTAGGGGCTGTCGCAAAGATACATTTTATGTAGGCGGAAAAAGGAGTAAAAAGTTACAGGAACTAAAGGACACATGAAGAACTACGGGAATTATTTTCAAGGATCAAAAGGCTAAATACTACAGGTAGAATTTATTTTCTCTCTTCTTGCGTTTTTGCCATATTTTATACTCGCCGTTTCTCACTTAGGCAGAAGTGTCTCATTAATTTATAAATATCACAACATTCTATATTCATCTTGCCACGCAATCGCCTAACGTGACCATAAAATCTTTTAAACCGTGCGCTTGCTTGAAAGGCAATTGAAGAACCCCATGTGAGTGTTGAAAGAAAGGGAGGAATAGTTAGAGCTGTAAGTATGCAATCAAACTCATTATTCTTATATTTAGCTTGAATAAGTTGAATATAAATTAGAATTTGCCCATCAATAATTTTATTCAGATCGATGCGTCAGTTAAACAAAGACTCTTAATCAAAAATTCATATGAGTGTGGCCGTTTATTTGGTTGAGTTACCATGGGTAGACACTTTACATATATACCATCCATAGAGGTAGATATTAAATATGTATAATGCACTTTTGCAAAAAATATTAGTCTGTTGAAAGCTTAAGTTAGCGACTGTTAAGTTGATGAAACGATAAACTCTACTGCGTGTTGTACAGACATAAATCTTTTCACAGCAATGATGCTTGTGTACCCTAAAAATGGGTGGGGTGGGTGGGGTGAAAGTTACAAAGGTAATTAACTGTATCAAATCATGTAGCAGTGCCTTTTATATATTTTTCGAGTTATTTATAGAAAGTACTCCTGAAAAAGTACCGTTCTGAGATGAATTTGGAAGATGTAGTAAATAATAAAGTATCTCCATCTCGAAGCATTAACTTAAAATGCACGGAATTATGACGCAATTTAAAGAAAATAATCTCTATTTTCAAATAAGCCCATTTAACCCATAAAATCAATCAACGTTTCCTTATTATTCACAATAATAAAATTCCATAAAAGTGATGAGCACATGGAATTTGGGAGGAAACGGAACCGCGTGGTTAGATAAGCCGCTAAGGCAACTCCTCCCTGCTATACCAAAATGATTTATGTCAGGTACTTCTTCTTCACTAATTATCAGAGTCGTACAAGGCCATTATGTCGAACTCTTTTGAAAATCAAGCGGCTGAGAAATGATAAGACTCAAATCACCTACTTACGCCATTTGTAAGCGCATCAGCCGAACAAGATGGTGGGTGTCGTCCGAAGCTAAATTGCGACACGCTAAATAAATTTAGGCACACGCCCATCGTCCATTAACACCTTTGAGGCAACCGACTGAAACGCGGCCGAGATCCTGACTGATTCTCCGACAGAAATATAACATACATTAAGTATACTAATTTTGTAAGGGCGGCGTATTTTTAGAAACTTAAAAAGCTGTAATATTTATATCTGCCTCTGATGATGCAAGGATGTTTGCTACAGATGGCACTCGTAAGGTTTTACTGGGTAAACCCGAGTTTTCGGCTCTTTACAATTATATTTCTATTTTAAAATTCACCTCACCGGTGTCGATGCGTGACTTTATTTCACTTACCAGGTGTTGGAAAACGAAAAAAATCAATTAAAAACAAGAGAAAAAAGTACGACTTTCAGATTCATGACACTTAAAATAATTCACAGACTTTAATAGGCCTCCGAGATCGTTCGTTGATCGTAACAATCTGTACTCACGCAGCCATTTTCTTCAAATTCTCAATTTCATGGTTTTTGCTCTTACCTTTAATACCACAGCAGAAAGGTGACATTAATAACCCGCTGACGTGCACCTGTAGTACTGCCGAGTGTTGACAGCGTTGATTGATTAGAGGTCCGACCGGGGGACATGCGGAGAAAACTGATGCAGGGCCAACTGCATCGCAGGATATTGGGGACGTCCTTTTTTCCGTCTCTCTATTTCATTTTCACACCTGCTGCTATCAAAAGTTAAGTGCAATGAATTAATTAATCAATTTAATTTAAAAATGCAGACCGTTCTCCTTTTTTTCAGGCATTTGCAATCGGATACATAAATCAAAGGAACTCGTATGGTTGTGCAATGCTATTCGATTTATGATCACGTGTTTTTAAACGCCAAAAGAACTTTGTTCTATAAAGTGGGAATGTAAAATACCTTTTTTCCTGAAATGTTTATCTGACAAATATTCAATACAATTACAACAGCGGTGAAAGAAGACCATTGTCACCTGATACAGGAGACAATTAAATTCATCTGATCCACAAAATAATCAACGTCATAAATGACATTGTGAATAATGTTTTTAAAAAATATATCACAATTAAAAACAGCACAGAGGTATGTGGTTTAATAGACAAGTTTTGCTGCATTTCCATCATCATCACAAAAATACTTGACGCTGTAAATAAAATCTGAAGAAATATGCATTTCATCATCCAAAAATCTTTAACAAAGAGGTTGAAAAAAAAAAGAAAAAATCATTTGCAATGCTCCACGCTCCTGGGGATGATTTTGATCACAATTTTTACCTTTACTCCATAATTAATAAACCCAAATGCACTTAATTGTATAAAAGTGCCCTTTAGTAATATAATTTTTCTCGAAAGTGGATCATATCCTGCAATGTTATGGAAGAGTCCCTTGCGGTGCCAATTAGTTACATGACGGTGCATGTCATTAGAGACTAGCTGCAGGTGGCGAACGTCTCCGCTGAGCACACCGAATATATCACCTGAGACTTAAAATAACTTAACTGTGACAGAAAAGTACAGTAATTATTGAGAAAGAATAAAACACTCTCGAGCATCGATGTTACTGTTTGATGTATTTATACATCGAGAAATTGATCCAACAATAAAAAAATTAAATAAAAAATTGCGCGCGATTAATAATGACACTTTGAACAAAATATTAATATGACGACATCAGGTGTGTTGTATGGTTAATGATTTAGGTGTAAATAATCTAGATCTGATTATGTGGGCGGAGAGTTTTTTGTCTCTTTAAAATCGCCATTCCCTTTTTAAATCGTTTTCTATTTCAAGAAACCCATTAATACCGACAAAAAAGTTGAGGTATGTTAACTATTAGTTTCAGAAACTGCCAAACTCATATATCGCATGTTAATAGACGATTTTTTGACGTCAGCATTTAAAAATCCTGTGATGTTGACATCCCATTATCAAGGGCGAATCATTTTAAAGAAATGATGATGGTCACAAATATCAATTTCATAAAAAAGATTGTTGAAAATATAAAACGAACCGGTTTACCTGATATGTAGCCTGTCACGTGGGTTAAACACAACCACACAACCAATACACCTAAAAAGGTGGAAAATTTAACGAGGACAAATTGTATCTTATATATTAATAATGGGATTTCGTTTATCAATTTGTATTTTAAGGGGCGTAGGTGCTAAATAGAAACCAAGGTATCTTCAACGTGGTTTGGTTTACATATCTCTAAACTCCCTCCACCTGTTTACTCTATTGTTTATTTCTTTGTAGTAATTTCTTTGAGAAATGCCCTCTTAATGTGACGGATAATTCTACATTCTCTCAACCTGACTGACTTTGGGTGATGTGGTACATCTGATGGACAAGCATGGATGAGTGTTTAGAATGCTGGTGGCCCAATTTGGGTAAAAAGAATAGTGCCAAGCCAGATTGTAAAGCGACTTGATGCGTGGTATGTGACAGCAAATGTCAAAAGCGTTGGCTGGTGAATGTTCGAATTCACTTAAGATTGTCGCGGTGTGTACTTTCTATTCACCAGCTTCGTGTCTATTGATACACTGTTTTCTTATAAATTAAGTGTCTCCCTAAACATCGCCCCCATCGTTCCATACACAGACAGTAAGAGACACAATAAACCTGGCATTTCAGCCCTTTTCTCAGACTACATCGGATTACAGTAAAAATCCAAATATTCAAATATTAAATATATACTCTACACACAAACGATACAAGTGGATTTGTTTTATTTGATTATTTCGGGTATTATTTTCTATATTTGTTTGTTACATTTGAAACTAATACAAATATTCATTTTGACGTTAGAATAAAAAAATTACTATTAACGCTTATCGCAAAATAGCAAACTTTCCTGTAAAATAATAGTCATCAGCAGCAGTACTTAAGTTAAGATTATAGCAGTTCAGCTAATAATAATAATAGTAATAAAATTATGCCAAGAAAATTGTAATTTAAGCCCAATAATAGTACTTAGAAAATTACGATGATTGAGTTACAACATGAACGATAAAATGATTTATAACTACTGTAATTGCACTTTCAAAAGTAATAAGGGCATAATAATTCATATCAGCCTTTCAACAAATTATCAATATTGTTGTTGGTCCATTGTCCATGACATCAGACTGATAATGACATTAACGGTTAAAGTATTGCTTCATATTGTATGTATCGTACCATAAATCTAGGGCTCTTCACTTTCTCTTTGGATAGAGTTCTATTAGGAGATAATAAATGGTTGCGGCTGGGTCACCGTAATAAGTAATATTCGGGTCATTACATTACAATGACAACAAGACGATGAGTTGAGACACGCCAACCTGTCATATGCATTGCAAAAGCATGTGATCCCGAAGACGTGTCGTGGAACTTCACGAGGACAGAGATGATAGATGAGGGGCGAGACTTGAAAGTGGAGATCGGCCAGGTGGGGCACAGCAGATAGGGCATTAATGGGACTTGTTACATTTTAAAGCTTTCAGCAAAGACCTTGTGTGATCTTTCAATCAAAATAATTCGCCTGCAGCAGGCAGTTCAGCTGGTATCACCCTCTTTTCAAGACGGCGGTCTGGTGTCATTTAAAGGCAGAAGACACGGTGTAACGGATGGTAAATTTGTTATTTTTTTTACATTTTTCAAATATTAAAGTGAAAAATGCCATTTTCTAGAGAGAAAATATATATTATGGTTGAAAAAACAACTACTTCAAAGATGTTATCAGTAGGCGGAGAAAAAATTCCTAAAAGCAACGGATAGAAAAATATTCTAAACATGCCGTGACGTCACAAGTTAAGTGAGAGGTCATGTGACCTAGACGCAGGTGTGCTTTGACAAAGATCTCCCCGCGATAAACAAAACCCAGATGATGGAGATAGAAACTGATAAATTCCTCAGATAAGCCCGATAACGACCTGCAAGTACTGACATTTTGAGGGTAATAATTCAACCTGCTACCATTTCAGTCCTGTTTCCCACCTGCATTTCTGAAAGTAAGAAGGCTGCGGTCGTAATTTATACCCAATGTCGTTAAAGTGTTTTCTTTGTGATACGACTTTACTTATCGTAAAAGATCGCGCTTTGTGAAACTTATCTCTAATCATAAAGCAATTTCATGAAACAAAGCAAATTTCACCTTATTTATATGGCGTTAATTTTTTTACGAATTTACTGCCTCGATTGATGGGAGATGGTTGAATATGTTGTGGACAGGTCACCCACAGAAAGTGTTGGTGAAAATGCTTTCGCAACAATCGTAACATCGACGAATTCTTTAATTGAGAGAACGCAACAATTAAAGAGCCAGTCGCCCTCCATGTGACACCATGATAAACAGTTTAAAAACACCCAATACTAAACAACGGAATGCCTATCAGTAGTATCCAATGAGGTGTATCCTTACTCTTGTTTCTATTACAGATATCTAACTGAAAGTTGCACGAACATATGGAACCGATTGTCTTTTTCACACGACTTTTCACGCTGACCCCATAAAATACACCCAGTAATGAAAAGATATCGTTGCGTGATTGTTTCTGCTTAGTCCGGATGTCAATGATGCTTTCATTAATAACAGATAAATTGTTGTATGGCTTGAAAGTTTATATAGATTTATCACGTGAATTACCCTCTCGCCCCCTCACTTTCTGTGACGCGCAAGGGAGTGCGCGCGTGCACACACACTACAAGACAATCCAATTACTATTTATCATGTTTAAATCATATGGGTTGGCAGTTTCTAGAAAGTATTACAGTTGATAATGCAATTTTGACGTGGTCACCTCCCACCACTATGGGTATCCCTTATACACATCAGAAAAATGTTTTTTTTCTTTGTTTTGATTTTATCACAATAAAGATGTGGTGCAATTTTCAATTTTTAAACGCCTCTCTTCTTTTCCAAATTATGGCCCGGGAAGAAAACCTTTCAAAGGCAGCTGTTTTCCAAATCTCGACTTAAAGTTTTGAACTTTTAAATTTAAAATAGCCGTTTCCTTTCTCTTTCGCATATTACGAGAACCCTCCCACATACTGAAAGCAGGTTTTTAGATATCGTAAGGATACAGATGTCAAAATGGCACAGTGTTGGGATTTTTCTCTTGGGATTGCCTCCGATATTCTCATGTTTTAGAGTCCACGTGTACCATGCAGGGTGCAGTGCCAGACTGCGTGGCGCTCGAAGGGAAGTGGCACTGTTGAGGTTTTCGGTAGTGTCGAGGGAAAGGGAGGCTCAAAATTACATATAATATAAAGAATTCTCTTTCCTGGAAAATAATTTTTTAAAAAAGTTTTTTACGTGTTTTTTTTATTATTATTATTAATTCTATTTTGTTTTATTTCACTATGAGATGATGACTTAAACCACGTCCTGAACGATAACGAGACCTAATTGCGGACAAATCAGAGACAATCCTATAAAAAGCTTCAAATCAAAAGAAAAAAACAAAATGAAAGGCCTGAAACGATAAAAAAGGCATTTGTCTATCTATGATGAGATGATTAAATGGTATTCTTGTGTAAGTAACAGCATGTCGATATGGAGATAAAAAATGAGAAGGGCATCATCATGAATCTAAATGATAAAATCAATAATTTTGTCTAGCCACTCCGCCCTCTCGTGCAAAAAATAAAGTCCAAGTGTAGAAACACTTTGATGATAAATGCTAGCTTACAACAGTAAGAAAAATATCGGTGTTTCATTTCACTATGCCAAGCTTTTCACTTGATACGACATTTAACGGCTGTTTGTTTGTTAAAAAAAGAAATAGTAACAAAACACATTGGGATCGTCTCGTTTTTTCTTTCCATGCCCTGTAGAGTCAGCGGTGGGTTAGGTAAATAAGCAGTTAGCTTTGTTCTTCTCTCATTTGTCTCGATAGAAGAAGGATCGTTGAACATCCCCCCAGAAAGATGTGTTATTCTTCGAATATTTTATTACGTCTAGCGTGGTACAAGGTATTGCGGCTCGGTACATTTTCATTTTGATTTTTCCTTTTCTTTCTCATTCTCTCTCTCTCTCTCTCTCTCTCTCTCTCTCTCTCTCTCTCGCGTAACCAAGGAGCTCAGCGGTGTCAATTAGAAAAAAGTTAAAAATTGTGATTGACACTGACAAATTGTTCTTCCAACTGGCAAAAGACTTGACTTACTACGCAAACACAGGCCACGCGCACATGCCGCGATCTGTCTTGGGTTATTTCCCATCTTACGTGCACCCTTTCTCGTTGGTGATAGCGCACTCAGACACGTTTGTATAATATAAAATGAGAAGAGGGTGAAAATACATTTTAGTGGAACTTGCAAGCGAGGTTGCCTTGGGCATAGGAATTGTTGCACTGAAATGAAAAAGAATATTATCAGCGTGACACTCAAATGGGATTGGAATATTATAAGATAAAGGAAAACAGTAATTTTATAGGCAATAAGAATCTACAAAATACAATCTCGCCAATTTTCTCCGATATATTAATAAGAGAGACATCCGTGTTATATATTGTAAATTCGAATGTAAAAAAGAAACATTTAAGGATATGATAACTTGTTTTGAAAAGTTGGTTATTTTGGCCTGATGAAACATTAAATGCACAAGAGTGGGCCAAGATCCTCCCTCAAATTGTCCATTTTCCAAAAGTTGAAAGATACGTATTTGCATATATGTATTGAGATAAAAGACAAAAATCTTCCTCTAAGGTACATGTAGGCCTACTCAGTAGGGAGAAGACTCCCCCCCCCCCCCCCCCCCCCCCCCCCCCCCCCCCCCGCCACCCCCCCCCCCCCCCCCC